AAAAAAAAATTTTTTTGCTTTCTAGCCCCCTCCAGAAATTGAAGCACATCCCCCCGCCAGTTTTCGGTCCGGGGGGGAGTGCCCCCCGTCCCCCGTTTGGCCCGGCTTGCACAGGGTAGGCGGCCCTGATTACCGGCGGACGCATAGTGGGGGACCTCTGCGCAAGGAGGGGGTGCAACGGCTCATTGGGGGCCTAGGTGGGCCCATGAGGGGGCGTGGCCGGGGTCCTGTGGGGGTGAAATGTTGCGCGGCGAATTCGAACCTACCCCCTCGCCGCGCCGATCCTCACGCGGAGGGTAAAACCCTGTGGGACAAAACCCCCCCGCGGTCGGCAGTCTTCAGAGTGGACCCCCCCCTCCCCAGCCTCCCCTGTGCATCTCGCACCCCCCCCCGCTCCCCATCGGTGACTCGCGAAGGACACGGACACTCGGGGTGAGGGGGGGTCCCCCAGAGAGGGGGCTTTGGGGCATTGTTGGGTTGATCGCTCGTGCCGATCTCGGGTCGATCTCGGGTCGATCTCGGGTCGATCTCGGGTCGATCTCGGGTCGATCTCGGGTCGATCTCGGGTCTCGGGTCGGTCTTGGGCGGGTCAGTCTCGGAGTGGTCTAGAAAAGAAAAAATGGGGCGAGATGAGGCGAGATGAGGCGAGGCCTGAGGCGAGGTGGGGGGCGAGATGAGGCGAGATGAGGCGAGATGAGGCGAGATGAGGCGAGATGAGGCGAGGTGAGGCGAGATGAGGCGAGGTGTGAGGCGAGATGAGGGTTGAGCTTGAGTCGAGGTGAGGCGAGATGAGGCGAGGTGAGGCGAGATGAGCGGCGAGGTGAGGCGAGATGAGGCGAGGTGAGGCGAGATGAAGCGAGGTGAGGCGAGATGAGGCGAGATGAGGCGAGATGAAGCGAGGTGAGGCGAGATGAGGCGAGCTGAGGCGAGACTAGGAGGCGCGATGAAGCGGGATGTTGTGTGGCGGCCTGTGCGGTCAGGCGCGCGGCGCACAAGCAGCCACACAACCCAAAAGCTCACTTGTATGGCTGCTTTTGTGCTGCCTGCTTGGCAGCACAAGCAGCCACACAACATCCCGCTTCATCTCGCCTCCTAGTCTCGCCTCAGCTCGCCTCATCTCGCCTCACCTCGCTTCATCTCGCCTCACCTCGCCGCTCATCTCGCCTCACCTCGCCGCTCATCTCGCCTCACCTCGCCTCATCTCGCCTCACCTCGACTCAAGCTCAACCCTCATCTCGCCTCATATCTCGCCTCATCTCGCCTCACCTCGCCTCATCTCGCCTCATCTCGCCTCATCTCGCCTCATCTCGCCTCATCTCGCCCCCCACCTCGCCTCACCTCGCCTCAGCTCGCCTCATCTCGCCCCATTTTTTCTTTTCTAGACCACTCCGAGACCGACCCGCCCAAGACCGACCCGAGACCCGAGATCGACCCGAGATCGACCCGAGATCGACCCGAGATCGACCCGAGATCGACCCGAGATCGACCCGAGATCGGCACGAGCGATCAACCCAACAATGCCCCAAAGCCCCCTCTCTGGGGGACCCCCCCTCACCCCGAGTGTCCGTGTCCTTCGCGAGTCACCGATGGGGAGCGGGGGGGGGTGCGAGATGCACAGGGGAGGCTGGGGAGGGGGGGGTCCACTCTGAAGACTGCCGACCGCGGGGGGGTTTTGTCCCACAGGGTTTTACCCTCCGCGTGAGGATCGGCGCGGCGAGGGGGTAGGTTCGAATTCGCCGCGCAACATTTCACCCCCACAGGACCCCGCCCACCCCCCCTCATGGTCCCACCTAGCACCCCAATGAGCCTTCGCACCCCCTCCTTGCGCAGTGTCCCCCACTATGTGTCGCCGTTATCGGGGCACGCTATCCTGTGCAGTCAGGGCAAGTGGGGGCGGGGGGCACTCCCCCTGGTCTGATACTGGGGTGTGACTGTCTCCAGTCTCGGAGGGGGGCTTGAAGCTAAGAATATTTTTTTTTCCTAGGCCTTCTCCGCGCCACTCACAAGCCTGCGCCTGCGGCGCTCCCTCGTTCCGACCCCCCCCCCCCCCTCTTCTTTCCCCGCTCCCTCCCCCTTCCCCCACAAGGCCACACCCTTCTCCACCACCACCTCCGCAGCCTCACTTTGGCGGCGTCACCGGCAGCCCCATCGGCACCTCGCTTCCCGCGGGGACGGCCTGGTGCGGCGCCGCGCCGGGGACGGGCGCCTAGCGCAGGGAGGAAGGGAGCTGAGGGCGGGGACGCGCTCTTGTGCAATGGGCTCGGAGCAGCGACGCTCGGGTCGTGCTATCTGGCATCTACGGGACGAGGCCGCGACCGCCATCGGCGGAGCGTAGGCGGGCTGCGGCGCGTAGCCTAGAGAAGACTCCAGGAAGGGTCAAGGAAGGCTCCGCCGCCGGAGGCGCGTGTGGGTCGGGCTGCGGCGCGCGGCCTGCCGCGGGCGGGAAGTGGCGCGCCGCGGCTCCGGTCGGCGAGGAGAGCGAGAAGCGGGTCCCCTCCGTCGCGTTGAGATGGCGCGTGACTTGCGCGGCGGTGAGCGGCAGGCAGAAGCACGCGCAGACGCCTATGGGAGGGTTCCGAGCAGGCTCCACGAAGGTTGCAGGGAGGCTCAGGGCGGCAGCACGCGCAGGCGCCGTCGTCGCAGGCGTCGCAAGCACAGGAGGGCGGGATGTGGAAGGCCTGGCGCACCTGACCTCGGGAGGAGCTCGGGTGATCTCGTGCGATCTCGGGGTGTGGAGGGTCGGCTCCGCACACACCCGGCTCCGCACGGTCCACACCAGCAGCACCATGCATACCATCGACGCCGTCGACGCGGCGTTGACCAGACGGCACTCGTTTGGCACGTGGCTCGGCAAGCTGCCGCCGTACTGGCAAAAGGCAGGCGCGCCTGGTGTTGCATCGCGGGCGGTGGGGTGTGCGCGGCGGTAGCGTTTGCATGCCGGTGGTGTGCGCGGGTGGCGGGTTGGGGGGAGCGTGGCGGGCGGTCTGGGCGCGCCGAAGGTTGCGAGAAGCCACAGTCCGCCGACGAAGACGGTTAGCAACTTGCACGAGCCCGCGTGCCCAGTCACGCGCCTACGGGAAGGGCCCGGCGTCTGCAGGAGAGGCTCCCCGCCGCCCTCTTCCTCGCTCCAGCTCGAGCCACGCGCTCGTACAGCATCGCGGGCAAGAGAGGAGGCACGCAGCAAGCGACCAGTGCGACGGGCGCGTCGCTAAGGCACGAGCAGAGCCCGTCGGACCACGTGCCGCGCGGGGCGGTGGGCGGTGGAACGAGCATCACGCGGTACTGCCCGCCGATGGCGACGGTGGGAGGCATCATCGCGTACTCGTGGCCGGGGCCGCAGCCGCAACAGCCTCCGCAGCAGCCGCAGCAGGAGCAGACGCAGCTGATCAGGTACCCGAGCAGTGCCATCGCCATGTAGGTGACCAGGAAGGCGGCGAAGGGCAGCCCGGCCGGCAGAAATTGCACGACCGCCTCGGCAATCTTCTCCCGGTCGGCACGGGGCATGTCGGTGTCGGCGATGCTCTTGCGGAGCTCGTCACAGATCTCGTCGTAATTCTCCTGCACGGCGAGTCCGGTCCAGATCCCGCACGCCAGCGCGACGCCGAGGGCGACGAAGCGGTATAGCATACCACCTCACCACTGGACCGTCCCGGCGCCTAGGCAAAATTCTTCGGTTTTCTTTTCTTTTTGATTTCAGCGCTCGTTCGAACGGGAGGGAGAAAAAGAACGTGTCCCACACATGCACATGCACATGCAAGCGCCCTCCCGCTAGGTGGAGCAGACGGCGCGTCCGTACCGCAGCAGCGCGACCATCTCCTTTTGCCGAAAGAAGAGCAGCGTGGCCACGATTGGCACCGGCGCGCACCGCGCGAGCAGCGGCAGCGAGGTGGCGCCGTGCGCCCAGCGGAGGAGCAGCGCAGCGCCGAGGCCGTTGGAGAGGGTCATGCCGCCGCCGTACAGCGCGTCCAGCGCGCGCGGCCACTCGCCTCCCCACATCCACCAGGAGCAGCTGGTCGCCGAGCCGAGCTCTAGCGCCACGACGGCGCCAAAGTAGCGGCCGAACGCCTCGGGCGCGACGCTCATGGCAAAGCAATGGCCGGCGAGGCAGAGCCAGTGGTGCGCAAGCATCATCGCGTTGTACTTGATCGCGCACAGGTCAAATAGCAGCATGCTCCCAAACACGTTGGCAAACACCGCCGCGAAGACAGAGGCCGAGCCTGGAACGAGCGCGGACGCTACCCACAGCGAGGGCATCACGCAGACCTGCGGCAGCAGGCCGAGGAAGTTGCGCCAGCGCGGCGAGCCGCCGTCGAGCTTCGTACCCATCTTGTGTACGGCGTAGCGCTGCGCGGCGGCAAAGGCGGCGAGGTAGAGAGCGGTCAGCGTGGCGACGCTCGTGAAGTCCGCACCCTGCGAGCGCGGAAGACCCGTTGTTGATCGTGCGTGTGCGGTGTCGGGCGAGCTGCAAGCAGCCGGGGTGGGCGACCTGCATGCAAGCGTCTTAGAGTTGCATGTGTGGTGATGCGAGCTGGGCTACCTGCATATACACGTACACACTGCAAGCAGCCGGGGTGGGCGACCTGCATGCAAGCGTTTTAGAGTTGCGTGTGTGGTGATGCGAGCTGGGCGACCTGCATATACACCGTACATAGTGTCTTCTGCGAGCGGATGTGCGGCGCTGGTGCGCTTCTTTCTTTTCAAACACTCTGACTCCACGCACTCTTCCCAACTCTTGTCTTCACAGTGATGTAATCGAAGAAGAAAAACCACAAGCCGCTCAAGCTTGTCGAGCTGCTCTTCGACGCCTGTGTCGCCTCGCCGCAGGGGGAGGGGGGCGCTGTATGGCTTCCAAGGCAAACGATCAGCCGAGCCCCGCCGACGTGGTGATCGAGCCCGCCGACCTCCGCTTCGAGGTGTCTCTCTCGCGCGCCTCCATTCAGCACCTCGCGCTGCGCAACCTCGCCTGCGGCCGTCCGGTGGCCTTCAAGATCAAGACGACGAACCCGAAGCGGTACCTCGTGCGCCCAAACGCGGGGATCGTATGGGCCGAGGGCGCGGCCACCGTCTCGGTCCAGGTGGGCGTGCAGAAGGCGCTACCGCAGCCCGGCGACCCAAAGTCTCGTGACAAGTTCCAGGTCCGACCACGCATCGCGCGCCCTGCCAACCTCTGTTGTCACTGCCTCATCGCTGCCCGCCTCACCACGCCTAGCCCCTCCCGCTCCCGCACTCACCTGTCGCCACCGCCGCCCTCGCCGCCCCATCCGCACACCACCGGCCCCGCCCCTTCGGCCACAGCCGTCCCCGCTACCCACCTCGCCGTTACCCCGCCGCCCCGTCTGTTGAATCGCCGCCGCCCGGCATCACCTACCGCCCTCCTCTGTCGCCGCCTCACATGCCGCCTCTCCCTCCCTGCCGCCCCTCCCTTCCCACCCGTCGATATCGCCTGCCCTAGCCCTAGCCCTGCCCTCACCCTCACCCTCTTCCTCACCCCTCCACCCTCCGCCCTCACCCTCACCCTCACCCCAGCCTCAACCCTCTCCCTCTCCCTGCGGCCAGGTGCTCACTCTGCCCCTCGACAAGGCCCTCACCGAAGAGATGCTTGCGGCGCACGGGCAGGTGCGGAGACACCTCCGAGACACCTCCGAGACACCTCCGAGGCACCTCCGAGGCACCTCCGACACACCCTCCGAGGCAGCCTGCCGCCTCTCGCCCGCCCGACTACGGCCACCGCCTCCCGCCTCCCGCCTCCCGCCTCCCGCCTCCCGCCCCCAGGGGAACGAGGCGCTGCGCGCACGGGTCGCCGCGCTGTGGGCGTCGGACGCCGCAAAGGCTGCCTGGGTCGACAAGGTCCGACACTTCCTAGACACTTCCTAGACACTTCCTAGACACTTCCTAGACACTTCCTAGCAAAGGCTGCCTGGGTCGACAAGGTCCGCCCACCCAGACACTCTGAAGGACGCCGGGCCAGCTCGTGCCTGTGCTTGGGTGTGGAGAGGGGAGGGCTGCCTCCGGCGCTTGCCCCACCACTCCTCCGTGTGTGGAGGACCCCCCCCCCCCCCCCCCTTCCCCCGCCAGGTCCGCTCCTCGCTCGTCGCCGCTGACTCCGGAGGCGTGCGCGGCCTCTCCATCCCCGAGGAGCGGTCCGCGGCCTCTCTAGATGCGGACACTCTCTCCCCGCACACCTCCCCGCACCCCCCCGCACACCTCCCCGCACCTACCCGCACCTACCCGCACCTCGCCGCACCTACCCGCACCTCTGCCCGGCTGTACGCAGCTGCACGGCCCCTGGCTCCCATGCTGACGCTGTCGACGTCATGGCGCGCAGGCCCCTCTCCCCCTTCGCCTCGGGCAACGGCCCGGCGCAGGCTGCGGCGACGCCATACCACCCCGCCCTCGGCACTCCCTCGGGCAACGGCGAGATGTAGCCGAGATGCAGCCGAGATGCAGCCGAGACGCAGCCGAGACACAGCCGAGATGCAGCCGAGACGCAGCGCACACTCGGGCAACGGCCCACTCCGCAAGCGCGGGCCGTGAGGTGCGGAGAGGTGTCAAGAGGTGTGAAGAGCTTCTCTTCACAGCGGCGCGAGCTGCGGACAGGTGGCCGCGCGGGGGGTGCGCCTGCCTCCTCGCCGGTGCCACTCGCAGAGTCGCTCGGCTCGCGAGACCTAGATGCGGGACCCCAGATCCAGATCTCCCCAGATCTGCCCTGATCTCGAGATCTAGATGCGGGACCCCAGATCCAGATCTCCCCAGATCTGCCCTGATCTCGAGATCTAGATGCGGGACCCCAGATCCAGATCTCCCCAGATCTGCCCTTGATCTCGAGATCTAGATGCGGGACCCCAGATCCAGATCTCCCCAGATCTGCCCTGATCTCGAGATCTAGATGCGGGACCCCAGATCCAGATCTCCCCAGATCTGCCCTTGATCTCGAGATCTAGATGCGGGACCCCAGATCCAGATCTCCCCAGATCTGCCCTAGATCTCGAGATCTAGATGCGGGACCCCAGATCCAGATCTCCCCAGATCTGCCCTAGATCTCGAGATCTAGATGCGGGACCCCAGATCCAGATCTCCCCAGATCTGCCCTGATCTCGAGATCTAGATGCGGGACCCCAGATCCAGATCTCCCCAGATCTGCCCTGATCTCGAGATCTAGATGCGGGACCCCAGATCCAGATCTCCCCAGATCTGCCCTGATCTCGAGATCTAGATGCGGGACCCCAGATCCAGATCTCCCCAGATCTGCCCTGATCTCGAGACCTAGATGCGGGACCCCAGATCCAGATCTCCCCAGATCTGCCCTGATCTCGAGATCTAGATGCGGGACCCCCGTCCCCTGACTATCGCTCGAGAGGACACGTACTCCGCTGTGCACAATTGCGGCATGCTCCAGCTGTCTTCAGCTGTACTCGTGGCCCCTGGTGCTCCGCCTGACTCGAGGCGTGTGTCTCGTGGCGTAGGGTCGCGAGACGCCCTCTCGCCCCGCGACGCGATCTCGTCGTCGCCGCTCGTCGACCAGGTCCCGCCCGCCACGCGCACCCGCGCCTTGCACTCTGCCTGCCGTTGCCAGCTCCTGCCCGTGTCCGGGTGTGGTTGACGCGACGGACAGCCCTGGGCTGGGGCCCTGCACCTTGTTGGCCGCTCACCGGCCCTTTCCTTAGGTCGCAACGGGCAAGCCGCAGACACCGCCCTCCGCGCCGCCCGCCGCGCCTCGTTCCGCCGCGACGGGCGCCTCTTCGGGCAGTGCGGCGGAGGCGGAGGCGCAAGATTCACCGAGATCAGCCGAGATCAGCAGAGAGTGGCGCTTCTGCTTGCTGCCTCCCGTTCCTCCCACTGCGCCTCCCCTCAGCGAGTGCATGGCTGTGGTCTCGGACGTGTCCCCGAGCCTCTCCCGAGCCTTCTCGGAGCCCTCGTGTCACAGGGCTTGCGCGCACAGCTGGATGCGTCAGAGGCGACGCGGCGGGCGATGCGACAGCAGATGGCTGGCGCGTTGGCAGAGTACGAGCAGGAGCGGTCGGCGCACGCACGCGAGCTGGCGGCGGCGCGAGAGGAGTCGGAGGCTCGAGACACCTCGAAGACACCACGAGACGCCATCGATGCCTCGCCTCCCAGAGCCTCTCCACAAGACCTCCAAGACGCTCTCCAGACTCACCAGCGCCGAGGCGTGACACGTCCACGACGCGTCCCGCAGGCGACCGCCGCGGCGCTGCGGAAGGCGCTCGAGCAGGAGCGCGCCATCGCCGCCGGCTTGCGGCAGGCTCGCGCGTCGCCCTCCGCCGCGTCCGGGGCGCCCTCGTCGCAGAGCGGCGGCATTTCGGCCACCACGGTGGCCCTCATCGCCCTCGCCGCTGCCGCCGCCGGCGCGCTGCTGCCGCTGTTCCTCTCTCCCGCCGCGTCGCTCGACGCGCCGCCGCTCGACGCGCCGCCGCTCGACGCCGGCGCCGGTGGTGTGTGAGAGACGTAGGTACACGGCGGTGCCGTCTCACTTCTGTCTTCTCGTCTCGCGCGCGGCGGAAGAGCTAGTGCCGCGCAAGAGATTGAGACGGAGCTACTCTCTCGCCCGGGTTTTGTGTGTCGAAATGGTGCAGGTCGGGAGTGGGGAGCGAGGCGCCATGCAAAATTGAATTAGAAACGGTTTCGTCCGCTTCTCGGCGCGCGGGGAGGGCGGAGGCCACGTGAGGCCCCCGGGAGCGGGGTCGCCCGGGGTGGCGGGTGCCGGGGGTGCGGGACTGCGGCGCGCACACGGCAGGTGGTGGTGGACCGCGCACCGCGCAGTCCAACCGAGCGCAGGGCCAGGGGCACGGGGTTGGCCTTGGCGCGCGCTTCCACTTGCGCATTGCGCACACGTTATTGCGGCTTGGACGTCGTATCGATGGCGCCTTTACATATGTAAAGGAACTCATGTTATTTTATTCCTTGGCAGGACGGCTGGTCGGAGCGACGGCCGAGCCAGCAGTCGTCTGCGACATGGCAGTGGCCCCGGATCATGTGCAGCTGGTCCCGAGCGGCTCAGGTCCCAGATTGAATCTCGGACCCACAGATTCTAGATTCCTTTAGATTCCCTGGATTCCCGCAACAGCGATCTCTTAGCGGCGGCAAACAGAGGCGCAACTCTGCCAGCAGCGAGGAGGCTCCTGCTGCTCAGCTACCGAGGCCTGGTGGCGTCGGCTGCTGCGTGGAGAAGACATCAGCACTGTCCGACCTCAAAACATGCACAACAAGCGGGATTTGTGACTCTGTCTTCGATTCTTCAGTCGCTCTGCCGGACGCGCTCGCTTTGTCGCGAGGGTCACCGGTGCAAGCCGTGTGGACGCCCAGAATAGCCTCCCCAGGCTTAGCTAGAGTGAGAGATATTGTGCACATGGTCAGCCTCTACAATATATACACTGACACTTTACCTCCCAGAGCTCGTCTCGGTCCGCCACGGCCATCCTCAGCCTCCGGAGGGCCCCCGGCCGCGGCGCGGTGCGGCGGCGTCACAAATCCGACGTCAGTTCACCGGGACGCGATCGGGCGATCTGAAGTCCAACTAGGCGCATGGATTGCCCGCCCAGGGCTATCACCTGGACCCCTCAATGGACGCCTGCGGTGCCGCCCCCACGAGGTGTTGTTCACACCTGTCCAACCACATTCGTCGTGCAGGAACGCGCTGTGTGTGGCTGGCAGCAAACTCAAATGACGACGGGTTGCAGCCTCGTAGCTCAACGGCAACATTGTGCAAGAAGAAGGCTGATAGAAGTAGAACCAGCCACACAACCAACAGCTTCTGGAGAGTATGCGGAGCGCAAGCAGCCGGTGATCAAAGGCGTGTTGCTGTCGGTGGCAGAATGCCAGAGGGACGCCGGCGCTTCGGTGCGTGGCTTCGGGGTGGTCACAATTTTCCACCGCTCAACTTGGAGGCAGTGTGTCTAGTAGCGTGCTACAGCTATGACGGCGGACCTCACTGGGGCGCCGACGTGCGACGACCGTCTGGGATCGAAAGACGAAACCGCGTCCCAGGAGCTCGTGCAGAGCGCGCTCCGGAGCTCTGTGGCGGAAAATTTGAAGGGAATGTGGTGGCTTCCCACCGCCTCTGTATGTATCCAATAAAGTGCTAACACGGCCCTCGGGCAGCAGGGGGTATGTGGCGAGCGCACGGAGGCACATTTAGGCCGCCGTGATATCGCCCTTCCGTGCACCCCCCGTTTCGGTAGCCGTTTAGGGGTTAATTGGACTTGGACCATCGTTCTTGGAGCAGCTGCGCGGCGACGGGCGACGCCGACGGCGGTCGGCGCGACGCCCCCCGACGCGTTCGCGCGCCCACACGGCGTGTGTGACACACGCCTCACGCGAGAGCGCCACGCCGGCCCACGCCCCCCGTACCCAGAGCTGCTGTGCCGTTTGATCAAAACGTCGGCGGGACGACACGACTGACACGAGTCACGACTTTAACCCGCATGCTTCGTGCGTGCTGTCTCCCCAGACTGTGTAGTACTCTCTGCGCTGAGGCGAGGAGCCGCCGGCGACGCGGCCGCTAATCGGCGGGAAGGCCAAGAAGGAGTCTCGCGGGGAGACTCGCGGCGAAATGTTATCTGTCCGCGCCGCGCCCTCGAAGTCCTCGCGAAGCTGCTGCCTTTGCGGTGGCGTCGGCTGTGGCTGTCGCCTCCGCCCCAGCGGCGGTGGCTGTTGCTGCGGCTGCTCCTGCTGCTGCGGCTGCGGTTGCTGAGGCTCAGCTTGCTGAGACTCGGCATCCGACTCATCGCGCGGAAAAGTCGACGCCTCAGCCGCGTCCAATCGGGCCTGAAGCGTACGAATCGTCCGCTGGTAGGCACCCACCTACATGCACAACGTTGTGTGTGATCGTTCAGGGTCGGAAGGGTCAGGATCAACTCGAATCACTTTGGGGGCTCAAGGTCACGGTCTGGGTGCGCCTTGGAGCGCAGCTGCTCTGCCCTCTCTGTCAGGAGGGACTTGTTCTCGCGCCGGAGGGACTTGTTCTCCGAGGCCAGCTTGTCGGCCCGGCGCACCCATTTCTCAGCCTCCCGCGACTGCCAGGCGAGTTCCTCAGCAAGCTGCTCGTTTCGCTCGAGCACGCGCTTGGTGGAGGCGTCGAGTTGGCTCTCAGTGAGCTCCAACAGGCTCGCCTTGGTCTCCTGTAGCATGACGAGCTGCTCTCACCATGGCTCTACCTAGCTAGCGTGTAGCGACCACCCGCCAACCCGCGCCTGGAGCTGGCAGAGCATCTCCTTCTTGAGGCCATCCTTCTCGACGAGATGCTTCCGCTCCAGATCGACCACCAGCTTCTCATGTCGAGCGGCCTCTTCTCGGGCCCGTGCCAGCTCCGCCAGCAGCGCCACGTGCGCATCACGGAACGACTGCACCCTCTCCAGCTCTTCAGACTGCTCGCTAATCAAAGCGTGCAAGCGCTCCGCCTCGTCGCGAGCCTCCTGCTGCTCTCGCCGGCGCGAGTCGGCGACGCGCTCCCTATCGCGATCACTCCGCTGGACCAGCGACTGCAGTCGCTCCTCGAGCGTCAGCACTGATTCCGCCTTCTGAGCAACATCTCCCTTGAGGTGCTCGATGATGTCCCTCGAGTCTTCGCGCTGTTGTTCCAGTGCTGCTGCTAGCCTCGCCTTCTCGCGATGCGTTTTCCTGCAGGCAGCCTGGCACTGGCGAAGCCGCTCCTTGAGGTCTTCCACGACACGATGGCCGCTTCCATCCTCCGGCACCGGCGCATCGTCGCCGCGCGAATCGGGGGCCATATCGAAACGACCTTTGCGCACGTCCATCCGATTTCTTCACACTTGCAAATTCTTTACATAGCCGTCCCTTCTCCAAGTACGCGCATCCGTAAGAATTTCGTAGCCTTCCCTTCTCCAAGTACGCGCATCCCTCTAGGGTGGCCTGAGTGCGAGCAGACGCGGCCGCGCTGCGCTGCCGCGTTCCCCGAGAGGAGGCAGGGAGGGAGGAGACGGCACGCAAACAAATTGCGCCGAGGCATGGCAAGCAAGGCGGTGAGGCCCGGCGCCTCCGCCAGCCGGCATTGGGTTCGGGAGTGGAGACGGGAGTCGCTGCGCCGCGAGAACTATGTTCTCATCCGAGAGTCTCACGAGATCAGATGAGTTCGAGACTGGAGAAGCTGACGCACTGCTCGTCCTTCAGGTTGAGATCAAACGAAGAATAGACGCCTGGCGGGCGGCGGCTCGCCGGGTTGCCCCACCAGACCTCGTTTGTACCCGTCACCTCCCCCTTGAGTAGGAGGGAGAACTCTTGCAGGCACGAACCCTTGCTGAGTGTGGCGCCTGGCATGATGACGGACCGAGAGCGCATCGTCGCACTGCTCTCGAGCGTGATCGGCGCGTTGCGTATCACAAGCCGCTCGACGGTGTGGCACTGGGGGTATGTTTCTCGTCCAACGGTCGCGCCCTCGCCGACAGATAAGAGGTCATACTCGAGCGCACGGCCCTCGATGTACGCATTCTTGCCGACGCTCGCGCCCATCAGGCGGTAAAAGATGTTGTTGAAGACGGAGCCGCCGAGGAGGAGCGACATGTATGAGTAGCCCATATAGCTTGCGGTTGCGTTCTTCCCAACTCTCAACTTTCTTGGTTCGTTTGCGCCAAGCGTCACGAGCCCGAGTCTCAGCGGTGATGGTTGCCTGATTGGTGACTGCCCCTTCCCCGCTGATAGTTGGCGCAGATATGACTGGTTCTTCTCCTGCGGGCGGTTCAGGCTTCGTTTCGGAACCATCGGCGATAGTGTAGGCGTCGGTAGCCTTCCATGCGACGTACCCGGTAAAGAGCATATACCAACCAACGAAAGAGTCACGCTGGCCATCAAAGACAGGGGTGGTATCCTGCGGGTCGGCAGCAACTGCGATGCTATTGGTTAGCATGTACACGATTTGCCAAATGGTAGCAAAGCCAATAAAGTAGTATAGGGCTTTGCGTGTCATGATCAGACCAAAATTGCACACGTAAATGACGATGTATTCACCACTACGATACTGCAGGCAACGGAGAGTGGCCCAAACGTGAAGGTGGAGAAGCCGAGCATAAATGGCGGCAAGAGCATCGTCGTACAAAGAAAACGCCAAATGGAGGTTACGACACATCCAGAATTTCCACGGCATAGGCCTCTCGTTGGCATTGGGTCGAAGGGCGTTCCCGCACACCCATGGATTTTCTGCCATGCCATGGTAGGTGCAATGGAAGCACTCGACAAGTCCATGGAGGCATTTGGGGCAAAGCGAGGAGGGCAACGGCTTTCGGCGGCCAGTGTCGATCGGTTCGCAAACATCGGACAAAGGAGATAGCTCGGCATAGTGCTCCCTCACGACTGGACTGACGAAGTCGAGAAACCTCCGAAGGAAATCGCGATAGCTGCTGACGAAAACGATTGCGTACGGGCACCCAAAGGAGATGGTGGTAATAGGTGTCCAAATGAAGCAAACAGTTTTGACAGTGGTGCTGGTGATGACCTCAAAGGCGACGAGGCATGCATACCTGGCGAAGTATAGGAGGGATCGCACAAAATTGTAGATGGCAATGCCCCAAGCAGCGAGTAGGATGATGCCGCATATCGCAAGTGCTGCTGGCGCAAGGCAAAAATACCAGTCAAAGACCCACTTGATTTGAATACCCAGGTTGATGATCAGTAGCTTGGTATTTGCACCATAGTGTCGCAATTTGTACCACGCTTGGATAATCAATAGGCTGCTAACGGTCTGGTAAGCAAACAGGTCGCCAATTGTCAGTGCACTTGTCAGCAGGGAGTAAGCAAGGAAAAGGAACCCAACGAGAGCAAAGCAAAGAAAAAATGGCCAGATCATTCCCATCCATGTGGACTGTACCCGAGCGCAATTCTTGTTTGAGAACGCATAGTTCCAATGGAGCTCGTATTTGACCCAATCGCGCTTGCCGCGTCGCCGAAAGTGATCAAGGCAAAGGGCTTTCGCAGCATCGGTGGTTCCATGGAGTGGCCAGATGATACCACATGTCCCATTGTTGAAGGGCACTACCTCTGCCCCACTGCTCAGGGTCTCAAAGACTTGGTAGGTAGCAAGCTCCTTTCCAGAAGAACATGTCCCATGGTACAATGCCTCTCCTGCACTCGACGTGTCCGAGTGGTCCCGGGGAAGGGCTTTCTGCCAAGGTGTAGGTTCAAATGTGGCGTTCCACGGTGAAACATTTTGGAGGCAAAGGAAGCCGTTCCCGTTGCATTGACCCAGCGGAGTTGGCGGCGAAAATTGTGTCGCAGGCCCACCGGAAGGTTCGTATGTTGCATTCCACGGTGAAACATTTGGGAAGCAAAGGGGACCATGCCCGTCGCACTGACCCAGAAGAATGGGCAGCATTGGGTGATCCAGCAAAGGTGGCGGCGGCATGTATGTCGCAGGCTTCCTATGGGGCTGGGTTGTCGCAGCAAGAGTCCCGTGCCTCATGAGTTGTAGCGCCATCGTATTGAGCCATGAGTGCACCTGTATCGCGGGGCTGCGGAGGGCCGAAAATTCAGATTGGCCGCAGTAGGTGGGTGAGGCCTCAGGAGCCGACTGTAGCGCGTGCTCCATCGCCTGGGAGGTAGTGTGAGTGGAGGCACACGTGTCCTCACTTGTTCTGGTCTGAAGTCTGCAAATAGCGAGGAAGAAGTCAAAAAATGGATCGTCGAAACAAATGGTGGACTCGGACGGGCTCAAAGAGGCCGGTCGAGTGCATTGTTCAGATCCTTCATCCCGCATAGGGTTGTGCTCGCACACGCCAGGCGCCCAGGTGGTGGCTGACATATAGGGTGCAAGGCTTGACCATGGCAGCGCACAAGTTGGAGCTGCCATGGTGGTCGACGCTGTCATGTCGCTGGTGCTGTCGGCCTCGGCAATGCAGTAGTCGAGGCCGTTCTTCCCGGTAGAGAAGTCATGAACGATAGCGGTCACGCCGTAGCTCGCGCATAGAAGCAGGAAGCCAGGCAGAGGCCGCATCGCGTTCGCTGTATACGTTTTACCCAAAACCGGAACCAAAACACGAATCTCCAATCCAAGAAGGGATGAAATCCCTTATGGATATAATCGCCAAATTATCTCAGGAACATAGTGTGAATGCCCGGGAACAGGAGGGTCGCCAAATCGACCAAATCGAACTACCAAATCGGACTACGACTCGTAACCCGCGCTAACCCGCGCTTCCGAAGGACTCACTGAGTTGTGGATGGACGCGCGGTGCGTCTTGGCGCATCCGATACAGGGAATCGAGTGTCGAGGCTTCCGCCGACAGAACGCGACGCATTCTGCCCTCGCGTGCCAGACTCGATGCTGCGACACGCCCAGTTGCGTTGGCTGGGTGTGGTCAGGCCAGGCGGGCTGCTGGATAGGAGATCACCGCTGCGCAGGCCCTTCGAGAGGTGACTGGTACGGCCGCTCCAGTGTGGCCGCCGCGTGTGCTGGCCGCAGCTGCAGAAGCCAGCTGCATACTGCACCGGCAATGCCCTTGGCCGGAGGCGGTGAGGCAGCATCTCTAAAAAGTGTAAACCCTCGGACCGCCTCGCCTCGCTTCTTCCTGCATGCAGACTCTGCATACGAGTCGCAGCTCCTCAGGTGCGCCGTCGACGGGTCGGCCGGCGCGGAGGCGCCTTGGATGCAAGCCGAGCTGCAGAACCCGCTCTCCAACGACCCTCGCGGCGGGGTAAGCGCGGAGCTGCAGTTTTGCCATAGTGCGCGGAGCCATCCTGCCAGGACGGATGATGTGGCCGCCGCGGAGGTGATCGTCCTGTGTCTGCATCTGTGGCTCAACTCGCTCGTGGGGGACTGCGCCAACTCTACAGCTCTGAGCCGCGCACGGCCAGTCATCTCGGCGGCAAAGCAGACCCTCCGCACGCGCGGCGTTCCCCATGTAATGTTTGGCGCGACTGAGTACACCACCACGGTGCCATGAAGGCTTACCGTCGAGTGTGCTCGCGAGTTGGTGGTACGTTCGGACTCAACCCGTCTGTAGGCGTACAAGGCGCACGAGTCGCCCTTCACTGCCCTGAGCGACTGGCTGGTCCTCGCCTCTGCGTCCCACTGGCCAAGCATCGCACCGCACCGGATGGCTATTCCCTACGCCACCGTCGCCGAGCTGTCGCTGGTGCGCTCATCGCTACTGCATCCAGCCAAGCCGCAGCTCCTCTACTTTCGCGGGTCTGGTGGCTTCGGCGTGCTGCGCCGTAACCTGACTGCGCTGAGCCGCTTCGAGCGCGTGCACATCTCCCTCGGGGAGGACTACTGCCCTCGCTGCTCCGCCAGCGAGGTATCCTACGCCGAGGCGATGCAGTCATCAACCTTCTGCCTGGCGCCTTCTGGTCACACCTGCACAACTCGTCGCTTCTTCGATGCTATCGCGGCGGGCTGCGTGCCTGTGGTCATCGACTGCGAGCAGCAAGCGCTGCCCTTTGAGTCGCAGCTCGATTATGGCCGCTTCATGCTCTTCTATCCGTTTGCCCGCATGATGTCGGACCTCGAAGCCTTTGTGGGGTGTCTGCGCAAACTCGAGGCCAACCCAACGCGAATGCGAGAGTTGCGCGCCGCGTTGCAGCGCGCGCGCGAGGCGTTGGTCTACTCTTGGCTGCCAAGATCGTACAACGCCTCGGCAGACGTCCTGCACAGCGGGTGGGACCGCACTGAGCCGAGCGCCCTCACCGGCTACCTCCTAAGAGAGGCTATCAACACGACCAGCGGCGCTGCCCCCAAGCGCCCGAGACACGTCAGGGAGCGGGACGCAGGCTATTTGCCGCGCTTGGGAACGGTCAACCGAACGGATTTTTGCTCTTAAAATGTAAAACAGCAGGCGTGCCCCAGTGCTCAGTGACTATGTATGTAAAGAGTCAGTGCAGTCGAGGGGACGGGGGGGGGACGCGCGGCCAGAAAGACTCGGCGGACGCCGCGGGAGGCGAAACCCGGCGCTTTCGAAAGCCGGCGCTTTTAAGACCCCACAGCATCGGATTGACAAGTGTACGCACTCTGTGGTACTAATCTGCCAACCAATGTCCTCTCTCGGTACATGGAGAGAGCCACCTCCCTCTCCCCTCTCCCATTAAGCTAAAAAGTGCATGGACACATATTCACCTCTACAATTCACCTCATGGTGGACCGACTTGACGCTCCACACGTCACGAGCCACGCAAATGCCCGCGTCCACGCCGATCCGCCGGAGTTCCGCCGGTATTTGCGGACGGCGGCCTCGATACCCGAGACGCACGATGAGATGCGCTTGGGATGTATGCGCAGGTCGCCGTTGCGGTCTGGCGCGAGCAGCAGCAGTGCGGCGTCGTTGCCCACATCCCGGTCGAACAAGTCTGATAGCGAGGGGTGGGAGGGCAGTGTTGGGCCGGCAGGATAAGTTGATGCCAGCAGAGGCATTGAGAGAGCGGCTGGTATGTGCCTAACGAGACTCTACCACCATCGTGGGGGAGAGAAAGGGGGAAAGGCATGGTAGAATTTCTCGGCAGTCACCCGTGTCGACGAAGTAGTCTCGCGCCGAAAAGACGGTGAGCAAGTGACCTGAGTGCATCAGCTTGAAGCCCTCCTTGACAAACTGGTGCGAGCGGATCACAACCTCCACTCCGTTGCGCTCGCAGAAGCGCTTCGTGATGTCGGGACCAAACTCTGGGATGGAGCCGCCACGTTGGCCAAGGTGGACGCCGGCGCGCATGCCCGCGTCCGAGTCGCTCGGGTCGCTCCACATGGCGTGCAGCACCGCCCTCGCCTCAATCTTCTTGGACGCCTCCTCGTCCCACTCCAGCTCCTGCCGCGGTCGTGCGTGCGTGCGTGCGTGCGTGCGTGCGTGCGTGCGTGCGTGCGTGAGTGTGTGCGTGTGCGTGCGTGTGCGTGCGTGCGTGCGTGCGTGCGTGCGTGCATGCATGCATGCATGCATGCATGTGTGTGTGTGTATGTGTGTTTGTGTGTGTCAACCCATCTCGGTCTTCTGGGTCCACTTGCTGCACTTGAGCTACTACACTTGAGCTGCCTGCAAAGGCCGCTTGATGGACTGGAGCGTGTCGAGGTCCCAGCTGCCGTCCCCGACGCCGCCGTGCAGGACGAGGACGGCGCCCCCGATTCTGGCCGCCAAGGGTAGCAAGTCAAAGGACGCATGGATCGCGTCGTAAATCCTACCCCACCGGCCGGGCGTGACGGCACCCAGCCTGCTCTCGCAGTGGGAGAGGAAGCCGTCCTCGCCCATCTTCTCGTTCATGTCACGAAACTCATGGTTTCCGCGGAGCAAGTAGACGCGCTCCGGGTACATGAGCTTCAGCGCAAACAAGATCGCGACCACCTCGAGCTGATGCAAGCCTCGGTCGACAAAGTCGCCGTTGAAGATGTAGCTCGTGGCCTGCTCACAGCGTGACAGTATGATGTCTATTCAGAGCCCGCCGTTGTGTTGATGCACCTTGCAGCCTGCACGTCTCCGGCGCCGTGGTGCGGGAAGCCAAAGGCGCCAAACAGCAGCAACAGCGAGCGGAGCTGCCCATGCGTGTCGCCAAAGACCTTGCACGGCGCGGGCACGTCCACCACCGTCTCCTGGTCCCTCAGTACCTGGCCGCATGCCGTGGCGAGGGTGCACAGGTTGTCAGCGTCCTCCTCCGACAGGATCCCCTCCGCGCCGGTGAGCAGGAGCTTGAGCAGCGAGTTGCGGTCGCGCCACCGCCAGTTGCAGTCGAGGCAGTCGGGCTCGTGCCGGATCTCAGCCGTAATCTGCGCCGCGTTTGAGATGATCCTTGTCGCTATCTCGTACTCGGGCGTGTCTCGCTGGCAGGCCAGGTGGCCGCGCCATCCGCCGTGTGCGCGGAGGTTCGGGTCAAGCTGGAGCTCGGGGTTGATGGCGTAGCCTGGGGAGGGGACCCGGCGTAAGAACCGGGATTTGGAGCGGGCAAGGGTAGAACAGTGCCGCGAGTCACCTGTCACATTATTGGTCTGAGGGTCCGCCCATCCTGTGGACACCCCACCCCCGCGCAGCTCCTCCCCCGACGCGGCCGCCAGCTCCGTGCGGCCGTCGACGGCAACGCGCTCAAACACGTGGCCTGCGCCCCACGCTGGAGCGTGCTTTGCAGCGGCCGGGATCACTTCTAGCGAGGGGCCCTTGGACCAGCCAACGGACTCGCGTCGGTTGGTCACAGTGTCCCTCTCTTTGCTCTCCTTGCTCTTGTCCTTGCTGGACATCACGCTCTTGCGGGGGCGGAGCAGCCCGACGTGCGGCCGGGGGTTTTTGGCCGATGGACTCGTCCGTCCGAGGCTGCGAGATTTCTTTTTCGTTTGTTATGTGCCTTCACAACGAGGCAAAAGGATATCCACCTCGAGAACCTCGAGAGTAATGTGCCTCTCCGCGACTTCCCGTGCGCAGTGTCGTGAGAAAAGAAAAGAAAGAAAACAGACAGGCCAAGGGAGGGATGGGAGGACGGAAGGCCGCACCACACAGGGATTTTAATGAGAGGAGTGTCGTGAGAGGGAGTTTGGTTTACATTTACTTCCTTTTTACTTCCCTCCTCTTTGTAAAAGGCGGGAGAGAATTCTTTCCCGACATGGCACAGGGTTCCAACTTTGTCCGGGGTATGGTGTGGTAGGCTCGGCCAACCCACCTCGAGACCCTACCCCCCGCCTCTTGGAAGACCGGGTAGGGCTAGCCTTGGGCGGTCAGGACTAGCCCCCCCCCCCCCCCTTGGGCCGCCGAGACTACCAGCCAATACTCTGCTGGAGGAATGGTTGCCCAGGTTGTCGGGATCACGATCCCGGCGTGAACACGACTAACTGACGGATCCGCTCCTGACAGTCGCACGCGCCGCGCTGTGGCGCGTGCGACTGTCTTTGTTTGAAGTTAAAAGTCGAATCAGAGCGCCGTCGGCGTTGATCCCGATTACCTCCCACGGACCGCCCGTCCGGGACCGCTCCGGGACGCACGCCGGCGCAGCACCATCAAGCTGCTGTACGGCCCCGGCATCGCCTCCCCTGGCTTAGCTAGACTGAGAGATATTGTGGGCATGGTTAGTCTCCACAATATATACACTGACACTTTACCTCCCGGAGCTCGTCCCGGTCCGCCACGGCCATCCTCGGCCTCCGAAGGGCCCCCGGCCGCGGCGCGGTGCGGCGGCGTTCACAAATCCGACGGCAGAGCACCGGGACGCGGTCGGGCGATCTGAGGCCCAACTAGGCGTATGCAATGCCCACCCAGGGCTATCACCTGGACCCATCAACAGGCGCCTGCGGAGCCGTGGTCACGAGGTGTTGTTCACACCTGGGCAACCATTCATGCACCACAGTACCCGCACCCGCGGAAAAGTTGGAAGTCAGGGCGGATTGTCTTGGCTGGACCTGCCCTCACGACCCGCGCCCGCTCTGCCTGGTCTTGCCGCTCGCTCGGGTGAACCCGACGCAAGAAGTGTCAATGCTATCGGCAGCCTCCTTCTCCCACGCAACGCACCTCTCGCGGAGCCTAGAGCTGAGGGAGAAGATCGTCAAGGTTCTTGCCTACTCCACTAAGCTCGCCGCTCACCTCCACGGCTCGAGCAGACTCGCCGCGGCCTCCAAGCAGCTCAGTGCCGCACGAAAGGTCTTTTCGCTGCTGCACTGGGTCAGGCACGTGGACGACGCCTCCGATGCACTTGGCGAGAGCGGCTCGTTGCGGGCCCTCGCCCTCCTCGAGCTGGCGGCGGCGCTAGTGGTCGACCTGCTCGGCGACGCCTCAACGCTCGTGAGCCTCCGCCTCCTCCCGCTCTCCCCGCGCCTCGCCGAGCGCCTCGAATGGTGCGCCGCCGCCGTCGATGCGGTGCATGCGCTCGTCGCCCTGGGTGCGGGCGCGGTGCGGGCGAGCCGCATCGAGCGCCTGCAGGCGGCGGCGCCGCAAATAGCGGGCGCGGGCGCGAAGGCCGGCGCAGACCCGAAGGTGGGCAGCACAGACGCGAAGCTGCGGGAGGACGCGAAGCTGCGGGAGAAGCTGCAGCTCGCGCGTCTCGCTATCGTCAAATATGCGTGCGACCTGCTCAAGGCGAGCCACGCCGCCGGGCTGAGAGGCCTGCGCGGAGGCGGAGTGCCGCTACCTCTCGCCCTCTTTGCCGGGCTCGCCTCCGGCGTCATTTCGAGTCACAAGGTTGTCGTCAAGCTGAATGGCACAAGAGAGACACATGGAACGCCAGCTAGCAGCGCCAAGAAGAAGACATCGTGACTAGTATCGTGACCCGCCAGCGTGCTGCCCGCACGAGCGCAGGTCGCACTCGCAGCAGGTTTTCGAGTAACTTCGAGTATCGAGAAATCGGCTCGTCTCCGGCTCGCTCCGGCTTACTCATGATATTAGCCAATGCACTACATGTAATATTAGCGCATGAGAAAATTCGGCACGTGTCTCGTGTCGGCGGCGTCACCGGCGACACACACGCCGGCAAACCGCGCTCTCTCTCCTTCCTATAGCTCTCTTCTCCCTCTTTCGCGGAGGAGCGCCTTGATCCGCGGACAAAGAGGCTGCAGGCTGTGGCGGCCACGCGCCCCAAAAGCGCAATAGAGCCCGGTGGCGGCGTGTGTGCAGCGCCAGGCGCCAATAGCAAGGACTCGTCTACCACGTGGTCCTCGGTCTAGAGGGGCCTTCCTGCTCCTCACCCTGCGCTCAGGAGCCACGCGGAGAGGGCCCACGCCGCCGCGGGGACAGAGACGTTGTCGTCTGCCAGCTCGGCGGGCAGCAGCTCGACGGCCGCCTAATCTCGGTCATCTCGGGTCATCTCGGGCGATAACGGGTCACGTCGGCAGCAGCTCGACGGGCGCCGAGAGGAGCGAGATCAGGAGGACGGCGGGCGCGGCCGCGGCCGCGGTGAGAGCGGTGAAGCCGAAGGCGTGGAAGAGGCTGATGAGTCCGAGCGACGCGCTGAAGGCGCTCGCCTGGGGTCACGCGGGCCACGCGCTCCTTTGAGCAGGTGTGCTGCCCTTTGAAGAAGGCACGGCCCGGGGCTTTGTGCGACGGGCGGGAGGCGGCTCGATCTCGGTCTCGGCTGTGCTCGCCACAAACGCGGCGCTGCCCGCGACGCTCTTCGACGGCGAGAAGGGCCACTTGACAGAGCCATACCTGCGGCAGAGGCGCCCGAGGCGGGAGAGGAGTGTCTCTGCCACGGCGGTGCCAGTGCGCGGCGGGGCACGAGAGCGGCGCGGAGAGGGGCGGCGGCCGCGGGGCGAGGGCCGCGGCGCCGCACCGCCGCCCGACAATGTCTGCGACGCCGTCGCCAACGGCCATCTGGCAGATTGCGACGGCGGCCGCCGGGCTCCGCCACCCAAGTACAGTGGCGACGAGCAGGACGAGCGTGTAGAGGAAGGGGCCGCCGAGGGCCTCGGAGCGCGAGCCGCTCCTGCGGCAACGTGTCCTGGGTCGCTGCGGGCGAGAGCGGCGGGGGCGCGTGGTGAAAGATGTGCAGAGGCAGACACCGAGAGATGGCCTTGACGAGGTCGGCGGTGTCGTCGGCCTCGGCGGCGCCGACGGGCGTCGGCTGGGCTGGCTGCGCCCTCCCGGCGCGGTACAGGCGAATGATCTGCAGGAGCGGCACCGCACCGGCGAGGATGGGCGCTGACGGCGCTGGCGAGAAGAGAGGCCAACATAGCATGAATAGCGGTGCGCTGCCGGTGTGGATGATCTTGCGCGAGAGATTGGGCTGGATGCGGCCGTCGGCGGCGAGCTTCGACCAGAAAGCGACCCACATCCAGGCCGCACCCGCGCACACTGACGCGCTCGCAGCATCCCGGCCCAATGCCGCCGGCGTGATGGCCGCCAAAACGCCGCCGTCGAAGGCCACGGCAAGCGAGACGGGCTGCTGCTCGAGGCGACGCCTGCTCGCAGCTACCTTGTGCCCACCGAGTGCAGGGCGGGCGAGCGCGGCAATCCCAGATGCAGGCGCCGCAACCGAGAGCAGGAGTACCAACAAAAGCGCGGTCATCGCCGCGGTCATTGGGCAGTGTGGGAAATGAAAAAAAACTCCACCTGGCGTCCGACCCGAGTACATGTAGTTTTTGCACTAGATCTAACGCTGCTCGTTCTGAGACGCCGCTGCCGTCTGTCTGCCTTGCTCTCGCTGCTTCTCTCGCCTCTCTGCGTAACTCCGCCCTCCTCGCGGCATAATTTGGCCCCTCGAGTTTATCGAGCTCCCCTCGCGCAAGGACCACATTTCTGACTCCGACTCCGATCATTTGCCTCCAAGTCATGTCGTTGCCTGGACGTACGCAGTGGTACAAGTAGCTCACGCCGCGCGTAGGGCCCCTAGGGGCCTAGAGAACACAACCCCCTCTCTCTTTTCTCCCAGTAAGCTAAAAGTACGTACAAGTAAACCGGCTCATTTTCGACGACGTTTGCGGATTCATCGATCGATCGGGGTCGAGGGGGTGACTGACGGCATGGGTTGCGGTATTCCAAAGGAGGAGTTTCTGTTTAGTGGGTGCCTGTGCTGCTACCACACCTGCGAAATCAACAGTGGCTTTCCTGGGCTCATCTGCTGCACGCAGGAGTATGAGAAGTGCTGCTTTGCGGGCGAGAATTGCTGCGCTCTGAAGGGCGACAAGTCGATTGAGAATCCTCTCCCAGTGCACTTCAAAACGAGCGGCATCGACGACGACAAGCTCGAGAACGAGCTCATGTGCCAGATCGCGCTGTACTGCTGCACGTGCGGCTTCAAGATTCCCGTCATTTGCTGCAAATTTAAAACCGCCTGCCTTTTCTGCAAGGGCGTCGGTGCCGTGCCATGGGTCGATGAGTACGTCACGGACTACGTGTGTGCGCTGTGTGGGTACCGTTTGTGGCCGAAGCCGATGGGCTGCACTAAGCCCCCGCCGGGAATGCTGGGCGCCGCCGGGGCTCCTCCTGCGATGTCGCCAGCGATGGAGCGGTGAGGGAAGAGCTGTGGCCTCCGCGCACTCCCACAGTGCAAAGATCATACTCGGGCGAGCGTTCCTTCCTCGGCGATGGCGGATCGGTGAGGGAGTCCCGCCGAGGGAGCGCGCCTTCCATGAGTGGCATGTCCGACATATGTTGTTGTTGTACCATAACCCCCACGCCCCGCGCCTTTTTTTGATCCTTTGAGCTCTGTGTGGTGCACCCAGAGGCGCGCTGAGCGCGTAAACAAAGAAAGAAACAATCGACTGCCAAACGGATTTAAGGAGCGCGTCCCCCCTGGGGATTTTGCCCTCCCGGGGGGCCACGTGTGGTGTTTTTCGGAGGAGCGGGAGGTTTCGGACCTCCGTGTGGGGGGTGTGCGTCGCAACAGGTTCCCCGCGGAAAAGACCCGTACCCCTTTTACCCCGCGCCCCCGGGCCCCGGGGGGGGGGGGGGGGGCATACCGCAACAAGTGGGCAGCGAGCCGCTCCGGGCGCGGGGGACACATGAAAAAATGTCCCTAATTCCCATCTCGTCTCAGAGTTTGACCGTTTAGCGTTTTTATTTATTTATCCCTCGAGGCGCGAGCCGCGTGATCTCGCACTTGTGGCAAGACGAAGCGAATTGGAATCGTCCAGTCGCGCGACCTCTCGTCGCGGGAGAGCTCGGTGTGGCGCGTCTCGCGTGTTCGCGGCCGCGAGACGCGACTTCGTCATTGTGCTTTCAGGACAACAAAAAGTGGTGAAGGGCTGTGACCTGTGTGCCAGTGAATAGGCTGACAGCCTGTGTCACTCGAGCTGTGTGGTTATACAGAGTAACTCTCTACACAACGTTTTCTCTATCGCTAGCACCGGGTCCTCGATCCGCAGTGAGCCCAGTGAGAGTTGCTTCGGCCCAGCTGTTCCGGGTGTTCGGTTGCCGCTTTGCGCTGTTCCGCCACCGTTGCCGCCCCGCCGCGGGTATGTGCGCGTTCTGCGCGGGATGATTACGCTCTCTCTCTGTCTCATGTCTAGCGAACGACTACCTCGGCGAGGTCTGATGGCGACCCGAAGCGCGGCTAGCGGGAGTCGAGCTTGCACACGGCCTCGTACTCGAGAGGTAGCTCTGCCCCGGCGCGCGGTCCGTCCTCGAGCCTACGGCATGCACACACCGGTCAGGGCGCAGACGGTGCCGTGCAGTGTGCTCAGGGCATCGTACACGAGGGCTAAGACGACCCGGAGAGCGTGTCGTCTCTAGTCGGAAGGCACGGGTGTCTGTGCTCCGCTTCTAGGTCCTCGAGCCGCACGACCACCGAGAAGGCGTCCATGTCGATGGAGCGCACGGTGGCGGTGGTGCCTGCGGCGAGACATCAGGGAGGGTGAGGGGAAGCGTGGGAGGCGGCAGCGGGGGGGGGGGTCAGGTGGTCTGCGAGCGCGCGGCGCCTGTCGAGCAGCTTCTCGACGGTGCCCTTCTGCTTGTAGTACCTCCCGCCCGCGAGCCTCTTGTGCAGGCACTTGACGACGATCCCGCGCCTACCCTCTCCCCACACGGCAAACCTCAGCCGGCCACAGGTCCTGCCGCAAGCACACCTGCTCGCTCCGGCCGCGCGCGCGTTAGCCACGCGTCGGAAGGCGGGGCCGCCGCCGCCGCCGCCGCCACCTTGTCCTCCGCCTCCCTCCGCGCCGCCGCCTCCTTCCGCCGCTGCTCCTCCGCCATCAGAGACGCGATCCCGCTCGGCGGCTTGGCCTTGCCAGCGCCGCCGCCGCCGCCGCCGCCGCCGCCGCCGCCGCCGCCGCCGCCGCCGCCCCCGCTGGTGCCCGCGCCGTCGTCCGCGCCGAAGAGAGACGCGCCTCCCGCCGCGAGCGGGGCGGCGAGCCTCGCCTTGCCCTTGGAGGGGCCGCCGCCGCCGCCGAGGGAGAGGGCAACCTTTTGGTCGGGGTCTGTGCGCTGCAGCTCGGTGGCGGAAGGGGCGAGGGCGCCGTCGCCGAGCGCCTCACGAGCCGCCTTCGCCTGCCGCATCAGGTCGCGCTCGTGCCTCTCCGACGAGTCGAGCTCGGTCCGCTCGCGCTTCGCTCGCTCCTCCAGCTTGCGCAGCTTCTCGGGGTCGCGGTCGACATACGTCACGAACCAGCCCTTCTCGGTCTCGTCGACCTCGCACTTGCCCTCGCGGCCGAGGTACATGATGAAGTCGGTCAGCGTCTCCCATATCGTCGAGTTCATGTGGAAGTGGTGCCGGTTCGCAATGTACTCGCGGTAGACGACGTTTGCGCTGCACCGCTGCGAGCGCGCCTTGCGGCCAATGATCTCCATCATCCCTTCCTCAAACTCGCGCGAGAATTCGTCCATGTACTTGCCCGAGTTCTCCGAGAACATCGCCATTTGCCGCTGGTGCGACTCCGACATGCAGTGGCACTTGAACCCGTTCTCGTCGCGGCACTGCTTGTTGCACATCTGGCAGTACCATCGCAGCTTCTGCAGCCCCTTCGCCTTGATGCGGTTGGCGATCGACTTGGGCGCGAGGAAGCCGCCATTCTTGTCCGCCTTGCCCATCTGGCGAGCCGGTGCCCGCGTGCAGTCGCGTGCAGTCCGAGCAGCGCCGCGGTGCGCACAACAGGGTGTGCGAAAAGAATTTTACCCCAACGACACTAGACGCGAAAAGAATTTGCCGCGGAACGCCAAAAAGAATTTTGGAATGCACTCCACGACACTAGGCACGGGAAATCCCTGTGTGGTAGCGGCGTGCCGTCCACCCATCCCTCCCTTGGGTGCCTGTTTTCTTTCTTTCTTACTCGGCAGCAGGACTGGCGTGCAACACTGCGAAAAGAATTTAGGAAATCTCCCTCGCACAACACGAGGCACGGGACTAGTGTTGTGTGCGCAAAGAAAGCAGAAAACCGGGGTGGCGGCGTGCCGTCCTCCCACGCTTTCTGTTTTCTTTCTTTCTTTGTGTGCGTCTTTTCATTCTTTGAACGGAGTGACCAAGCACTGGAGAGAGAGGTGGGAGCAGATTGCCAGGAGAGGTCGAATCCTTGGAATAATGTGCAACACACCTACAGCGATAACTCAGAATCGTCGACGAGGTAAGCGCCTTAAAGTTTACGCGGCGAGATTGCGATTTCCTGGGCGATTTCCCTTAGGCTTTCGCCGAAGTTGCCTGCAAACCATCGTCGGTTCCCGGACGCACGTTCGGGTCGAGCCTCCTCTCTACACAAGAAGCATCTTACCAAGAAGCTGGGTGTGCGCCTTCTCGCGCCGGCCCTGCTCCTCGTGCCTGCCTGCCGCCCGGTTCCTCTCATCCCAAGAACGGTTCCTCTCTTACCAAGAAGCATGGGTGTGCGCCTTCTCGCGCCGGCCCTGCTCCTCGTGCTTGCCTGCCGCCCGGTTGCTGGCGGGCACTGTGGCGGAAATGGCGCAGACTGCTCCAAATGCGTGAGTGACAGCCGCGGCTCGCCTTGCTCCTTCTGCGACGGTCGTTGCCAAATGGCGTGGGACGCCTGCGAGACTGACGCTATCACCAGCAGTGCGGCGTGCCCCGCCTACGAATACATTCCTCCCCCAGGCCCCGACTTCTTTATCGACGTGAGTGAAAGACTCGCCTCCAATCCAGCGCAGCTAAACTACGGCGTGGCAGTGACTGACACTGACGGCGATGGCAACTTTGAGTTCGTCGTGGCTGGACATGGAGCCGCCAACCAAGCCTTCGAGTGGGACGGGAGCAGCTACCAGGATATTGCGCTCAGCAGCCCGACCCTCCAGGACGCCGAGCACCGCGCCATTGGTGTGGCTGCGTGTGACATTGACGGCGACGGGCACGAGGAGTTGTATGTGCTCAACACGGACCAGTACTCGGGCTCGACCTCAACGTCAGACAAGCTGATCGACTTCGACGACGCGAGGAGGGAGCACGTCGAGCTCTTCGCCCTCCCACAGAACCAGGGCACCGCTAATTACGTCGCTGGACGCTCGTGCGCCTGCGTCGATCGGCACGCAGATGGTAAATTCGGGATCATGGTTGCAAATTATGGAGGTGCGATGAAGCTCTTCGAGGCTGGCAGCGACGGGCGTACGCTCATAGACGTGGCGCCAGAAGCGGGGGTCGATCTCACGACGGGAGGGCGAGCTCTCGTGGCCGGCCCGATCCTCTCCTCCAACGTGGACATCTTTGCAAACAACGAGGGTTGGAATGGTGGGCGGCAGTTGGCCGCGCGAGAAGGCACGGTGAATACCAGCGCACATCGACACAGGCGGCGGCTGGGACACAGAGCCAACTTCATGTTTAGGAACAACGGCGACGGCACCTTTAGTGACATGGCTCAAGCAGTGGGGCTCGACGACCCAAACTACACTGGGCGCGGGACAGCACTGTTTGATGCAAACGGAGACGGCCTCGTGGACATCGTCTACGGGAATTGGAACGGAGAGCACCGGCTGTTCGAGCAGTCACGCGACACAGCGGGTGGGGCGAGCTTCACGGACAAGGCCCCTGCCGCCATGGCCGAGGCGTCCCCTATACGAACCGTCATCGTCGCCGACTTTGACAACGATGGATACGAGGAGATATTCTGGAACAACATACCCGGAGAGAATCGGCTCTTTCGCCGGCTTCCTACCGACGAGGACTGGACCCTCATCAACGCTGGCGCCGCCGTGGACACTGACGGCCACGGCACCGGCGCCGCTGTGGCAGACCTGGATGGCGACGGGCTGCTTGAGCTGTTGGTGAGCCACGGAGAGTCTCAAGCGCAGCCGCTCTCGCTCTTCAGCCCGGCGCTTGGCCGCGACAACCATTACTTGCGAGTGATGCCGCTGACCACGCACGGCGCTCCTGCGCGCGGTGCTGTGGTTAGGCTAACGGCTTCGGGCCGCACGCAGATGCGCATCATCGACGCTGGCTCGGGATATCTTTGCCAGATGGAGCCCGTCGCTCACTTTGGGCTTGGACCTGTCACGGCCGTAGAGTCTATTGACGTGGTTTGGCCCGGAGGCACTTGCCTTCATGTCCAGAGGCCCGCCGTCGATGAGCTTCACACGGTGCCGTTTCCCGACGGTCAGAGAGCCTCCGATGGCTGCGTGGAGCTTTCTCCGAGGGCGCGAACACGCAAGTCGGTGGCAACGACACTGGCATGGTCCATCCCGATGAGCCCAGGCGAGATGACGGCCGAGGTCGGACAGGTCATCACCTTTGCGTGGAGTGGCTATCACAATGTGGTTATGTCACTCTCGAAGACAGACTTCGACAGCTGCGTGCTAGACGGGCAGCAGCTGGTGGCACCGTCAAGCGGAGGAAGGCTGTCCATCACAATGGATCAACCAGGCACGTTTTACTACATCTGCTCGGTGGGGTTCCACTGCATGGCCGGTCAAAAGATCGCGATCACCGTGGCAGGACCCCTATTGCCGTCGCCGCCGCCGCCGCCGCCGCCGCCCTCCATCGCAGCCATCGTGGCGGCGAGCCCATCGCACCAGACCCTCGAGGCCGCGCTCGTCGCCGCTGAGCTCGTCGGCGCACTCGACGGCGACGGCCCCTTCACCGTCTTCGCTCCGACGGACGCCGCCTTCAGCGCGCTGCCCGCCGGCACCCTCGACGCGTTGCTCGCCGACCCGTCCGGCGCGCTGACGAGCGTGCTCCTGTACCACGTCGTCTCGGGGCAGGGCGTGCTGTCGACACAGCTCACGAGCGGCGAGATCGAGACGGCCGCCGGCGAGATGGCGGTGGCTCGAGTCACGAGCTCGGGCGTCTTGGCCGCTTCAAGACGAGCGCCATGGCCGAGGGCGCGATCGAAGGCGCGCAGCTGTGCGGATACAGGGTGGCGTAAAGTCTTGTGTCATCTGACTCGCGCTCCGTGCGTGTGCGCAGGCAGTGCGGCCATGTACGAAGTGGCATCGCCCTACGAGACCCACTTTGCGTTCTCGCGCTTCGAGGCCGATGAGGCGGCAGACCCCAGCAAGGAGCTGGAGGGGGAAGCCGACGCCTCCGCCTTTGTTTAAGCCTTTGAGGCCGCGATGGAAGAATGAGCAGCTCACCTGAGCACACTCGAGACTGCCTCTGGCGGCGTGCGGCGTGTGTGGTGTGGTGTGTATCGCGCGGGGGGGTCGTGTTCGGTGTTGCGCGTGTGCGAGCACCACAGAGAGGGGCGAACCATGAGCATGACCCGACACCCGTCTCGGCCAGCGCGATGATAAATAAAAAAACGGACACCTCTACTGTGAGATGGGTGAAAAGGAACAGGTCCCCGCCCGTGCGATCTTTGTGCAGGGTTCTTTGTGGGTGTGTGGTCGGCGACTAGCCGGGGTCGTCCTCCCGGTGGGGGACTAGCACTAGCCGTCTAGCACTAGCACTAGCCGTCTTCCACATGGTCCCTCGGGTCCCTGCTACTCTTAATGTCTTCGTACATCCTCCTGCTGATCTCCGCAACGTCCTGCTCCCTCCCTCGTCTCGCCCTGCGCGTCTGCTCCGCCTCCCCGTCGTCTGCCCTGCGTCGTCTGGCGACGGGTCATCCATAGTCGGTTGAGGTCGCCGCCCTCCTCGTGCCTCTTCCCAACATTCCCTCGGCGGCCGATGCCGTCTGCTCCGACTCCCCCATCTCCGGGTCTGCCCTGCTCTCGCCTGCGCTAGTTTCTGTTTCGTCATCACCGATGTCCGTCCTCTTCTTTCTCCTCTTCTTGTATGCTTTGTACATCGCGTCGATTCCTTTTCTCGTGAGCACCACCCTGAAGCCCGCCCAGCAGCTGAACCGCTCCCTAAGTCGAAGGAGCATCATCAGTCTCACCCACTTCGCTCGCTGCCCACTGTCTCCGCTCCCTCCCGCTTGAGCTGCCATCGCGGCCCTCGTCTTCGTCCCACTGGCTGCTGGCCTGTCCGCACGTTACCTCCGTTATCCCTCCTCCTCCGCGACTCCCTCAAGGCCGACCGGGCCTCCTCCCACCCAGCGAAGAGCTTCCTCAGCCACTCGATGTGTTCCTCTCTCTTCATTATGCGCGCGGTAGCCTCATCGTTGAGCTGGATCCACCTCTGCACCGCTCCCGTCGCCGCCTCGGCCACGACTTGCAAGTTCCTCGTGACCCCGGCGCCAAGGTCCCTCCGGCTCTTCTCCGAGCGGTCATCTACCAGTGCTGGCAACACCCCCCCGACTGCGGGGGCTAGCGCATCGTACCCGTCCTCATCCAGCACCCTATAGCGTGAGCCCTTCAGCGCAGCGACATGCGCCATCCTCAGCGTCTTCAGCGTATCCTTGGAGTCGGGTGCCGCCTGTGCTACTTTGCTGATCGCCGTCCCCGTCTGCGCTCGCGCTACTCTGAGGAACCATCTGGCCTGCTCCCTATTCCCCAGGCAGGCGCTGCTAAGCAAGTGCGCCATTGTCGCTCTAGGCGGGTTCTCATCTTCCTCGGTCCATTGCTGCGCGGCTTTCCGCATAGCCGCACGATCGGACACAGCGGGTCCGCTTTAGTGCCGCCCTCCTCGCCGCGTCCCTCGCGGCCTTACAGACGAGGCAGCCCTAAGTTCGCTCCTTGTGGCGGCGCCCGGAGTCTCTCTCCCCGCCTCTCCCCGCATGATCCTCTCGTGGTGCGCTCCGTGTGGCACCCCCGCCTGCTAGCTGCCGCACCCGCGCAGCACCCGCGCTCCCATGACGGTCTTTGTCACCACGTTATGATCATCCACGTCGGCGAATTCAATCTCGCGCTCGCCGTGCTGATCCTTGATCCGCTGACGCTTGTCCCATTTGTGTCTCGTCGTTCCCCTGACCACATCGCTCCACAGCGGCCCAGTCACACCCCCGCCGTGTGCGACCCCGCCGTGAGCCCCTCGCCGAGCCGTGCCAAAGTGAAAGAAAAAATCATCTTCACGCCTTCTTTTTTTCTGTGATGCGTCAGACCGTCGCGGCCGTGGTGGGCTCCTTCCGGCTCACCTCTATCACTTCCCTTCGCCACGCAGCGAGCTCGGCGCGCAAGTCGAGCCGATCGTCTGTCGCGCCGGCGTGCCCCGCGCCCTCGACGTAGACGCACCGGCAGCGCGACACCTTGCAATCGAGAGGAACCCTGAAAAGGGTTGCTGGGTTCGATGTATCCGAGATGTAGCCGAGACAGGTCGAGACGCGGCCGAGAGAGGGTTCAGAAGGGTCGAGACAGGGTGGAGATGAGGCCGCGTGACTCAGACCTCGCGCTCGAAGCGTCGAGCCTCGTCCGCGGCAGGCACGCGGAGGTCGGCTGTCCCGGCCACGCACAGCACCGGGACCTGCAGCTCGGCCACCCGTCTGCCGGCGGCGAACGTGGGCTCCGCCCAGCCCTTGCGGTGCGAGGCCGTCGCCGCGGAGAGGGCGAGTCTTGCCGGCAGCGCGGTGACGACGCGCCAGGCGTACTTCGTCCGCGCCTCGCCGAGCAGAAGGGGCGACTTCTCTCCGGTGAGCAGCCGTCGGAAGGTGGATGCGACCTGCGCGGCGCCGAGCAGCTCGTGCGATTATAGCCGAGGTGCGGCCGAGGTGCGGCCGAGGTGCGGCCGAGGTGCGGCCGAGGTGCGGCCGAGGTGCGGCCGAGGTGCGGCCGAGGTGCGGCCGAGGTGCGGCCGAGGTGTAGCCGAGGGAGGGAGACCTGCGCGGCGTCGAGCAGCTCGTACGAGCTCAGCGTGAGGACTAGCTGGAGCAGAGCCGGCCACGGGCCGCGGTTCGAGACCAAGACAGAGTCTCTCCAGGTCAGGATCCGGTAGCCGAGCTTGCGGTGCCAGCCGGTCGCGGGGGAGACGAGCAACAGGCCGGACAGCTCCTGCGGCACGTCGAGCGCGACGTCGATGGCGACCCCGGACCCCATCGACTCTCCCAGCAGGAAGAGCTCGCGACCCTCGCCGACCGACCGCACCTCTTGCGACACGAGCGCCACCAGGTCGGCGTGGCTCGAGCGGTCGCCGGCCGGCACGCAGAGGGCGCGCACCGCGTACTCTTGTGCGAGCGACGGGAACTGCATCCACGCGGTGATTCCAGAGCCGTCCGCTCCAGGCAGCACGAGCAGGAGCGGCAGGGTGCCTGCGTCTGGGCGGGGCTCGTCGAGGCCAAACTCGAGGCAAGGGTCGAACCAGAACGGCGCATCCGCGGTGGCTGCCATGCGAGCCGTCCGGGCGCGAGCCGGCGTCGGGCTGCCGTACGCCAACAGCGCACCAGCCTGAAGGAGCCACATCCGGCGTTGTCGAGGGGCTACTGCCAGCACGTGTTGATGCACGAGAGCACGCGTGGCGTACGCGAGGCGTCCGGTTGTGCGTCGGAGACAGTCGGATTGGCTCCGGTGCCGCCGAGAATTCTTTGTATGTCCTCCTGCCTGCTGTTGGAGGGTCTGTGGTCTCGGTGGAGCTTCCCAGGATTTGCAAAAAGAAAAACCGCGGCCGCGCCACAGCGTTTCGTTTTTTCTCACACCACGTGCCTCTGCACCTCCGTTCACGTGCACGAGCTTCTTGAGCCACCCACCCACCCACCCACCTCACGGCCCGGCCGGCTGAGGCTTGGAACCACCCACCCACCCCACCCACCTCACGGCCCGGCTGAGGCTTGGAACCACCCACCCACCCCCATCCCCACCCACCCACCTCACGGCCCGGCTGATGGAGGCGAGGAAACCCACCCCCACCGACCGACCCACCCCCACCACCCAACCAACCGTCCCGGCCACGGGAGACACAAGCAAGGTAGCAAAGCACCCAGCCTCGCGCGCCTTATACAGCACACAGCCTGACCCACAGCCGAGGGTATGGGTTAGGGTTAGGGTTAGGGTTAGGGTTCGGGTCAGAGAGTTCAAGCCGTTGTGCAGCTCCTAAGAACGGGCCGCTTCGGGTCGGAATGGAGGAACCAGCGGTCCGTTGACGCGAGCTCTCGGTGAATGCTCCGAGTTCTTGGGGTTAGGGTTAGCGGGTTAGGGTTAGGGTGAGGGTTAGGGTTAGGGTTAGGGTTAGGGGTAGCTTGTTGTCGTCGTGCCGATAAGACAGAGACACGGGCAGCAGACGCGACCCAATCGACGCACCAGAGCACGGCCGGGGGCGCGAGCCGCGCCATCTTGGACTGTGAGGCGAGTATTTGCCACCGGGAGCTCGCCGCCGCCCCTACACCGCCGCCGCCGCCCTCCCGAGGGCAGATAATAGCCCAAGTCGAAGAGTGCGCGCCGCCCTCGGTATCTGGGTGGCAGGCGGGACTAGAGAGGCACGCCAGAGCACGGACGGGGGCGCGAGCCGCCATCTTGGACTGTGAGGCGAGCATTTGCCACCGGGAGCTCGCGCCGCCGCCCCTACACCGCCGCCGCCGCCCTCCCGAGGGCAGATAATAGCCCAAGTCGAAGAGTGCGCCCCGGCCTCGACATCTCGGCGGCAGAGGCGTCCCAAGCGACGCACCAGAGCACGGCTGGGCGTGCGAGCAGCCGTGTTTGACTGTGAGGCGAATATTTGTCATCGGGAGCGCGCCTCCGACTCTGCACCGGGCCGCCGCCGCCCTCCCGAGGACAGGAGATAATTACGGCCGCCTCGTCGTCGAGCTCGGCGGAGACGATGGTCGCCTCGCGTTTGAACCCCTCGAACTGCTGGAGCGGCATCGCACTCGTCGAGCGTAACAGCAAGCAGTCCGCCCTCGGATGACTTGTTGAGCGCGCCGTCAGCCGCCCGTAAGGCACGCGGCAGTCGGGGAGCGCGATCTCGGTCATCTGGTGCCGCGCGTCGCGTGGGCACGGTGCGAGGAACGACATGCTGTCGCAACGACGAGAGCTGTGCCTCGAAGACGCGCGCGAGGGGAGAGAGAAACGACCAAACCTTACCCACCCACCCACCCACCCACCCACTCACCCACCCACCCACCACCCACCCACCCACCCACTCACCATCCGGGACCTACGAAGCGTTTACCCACCCACCTGCACCCACCCACTTTTTCAAGAACGGCGTGCAGAGGCACGTGGTGTGAGAAAAAACGAAACGCAGCTGCCGCGCCACTCCCTCTGCGCTCGCTCTCTTCCCACCCGAGCTGCTGGAGAAGCGGCTGCGGCGAATAGCAGGCAGGTTTGCCGCCCACCGGGCTGGCCATTCGGACGTCGGACATGTGTCTCCTCTTGCTCAAGTGTTGGTGGTCGATGGTCTCGCGGATCGGCTCTCGCCGGCTGTGCGCCGCAGCACGGTTCCTCATTCCGCGGTATCGATCGACGCTCTTCTTCTCGGAAGTGCCACCAGGTGGATGCGCTCGCGTGGCACTCACCATCGACGACGGGATCTGCCGAGGCGAGGCCGCAGACTCTCTCGCGCCGGCGGTGGTGGAGCTGCTACAGCGACACGGCGCTCGCGCAACCTTCTTTGTGTGCTCCGACTACTGCTCGCCCGACGCGGCCGCCGCCCTGCTGGCGGCAGGCTGCGAGCTCGGCAACCACCTGAAGCGCGATCAGCCATACGCGCTCGCCGCCGCAGACGCGTTTGAGGCGGATCTGCTCGAGTGCGATGAGCTCATCCGCCGCTGCCACGCAGAGACGCCGCCGCCGACCGGCGCGGCGGAGCGCGGCCGCTGGTACCGCTCACCGCAGGGCGTGCTGACACGCCGCATGCGCGACGTGCTCGCCCGGCAGCGCGGGATGGTGCACGTTCTCGGCGACGCCTACTGCGACGACTGGGCGGTGGACGACCCGGCCTTCATCTCGCGGACGCTGCTACGGATGGCGCAACCAGGCTCCATCATAATCATGCACATGCCGGAGGCAAAGTGTCGCCGCTGGTGCCTGGACGCGCTGCGGCTGCTGCTCGAGGGGCTGGGCGAGCGGGGCCTCGCCTGCGTGACGCTCTCGGAGCTGGCGGCCAGCTAGCTAGTAGCTAAGCTTAAAAGCTAGCTTTTACTGCTGTTAAAAGACGACGAACAAACAGGGTGGTGCGCGCGAGAGGCAGAGGGGTCGCCCCGAGGCGCCCAGGGCGCGCGGGATAAGCTCGGCTCGCAGGCGTTGGAGGGTAACTAAGTTCTAAGTGCCTCTCACCGCCGCACACCGGCGGTGCACGAGAGCGCCGACGCGGTCGGGGGGACGAGGCCGCGCCGCGGGTCGGCGGCGCAGAGCACGCCAGGCGGCGCGCAGCGCCAGCTGGAGCCTGGAGAGAGTGCCCCTGCGCGGTAAGTGAGTGACCGAGAGACGATCTCCGGTGCTCACGCCCGGGGACCCGGCACGGCGTGTGCCTCCTCCTCCTACTCAGACACTCAGGCACTCAGGCTTCACTCGGCCCAGATCTGGTTTAAAAGGACCCGATTTGGAACTTGTACCTTCTTTCTCGCTCTCCTGTTTACATACATATTCTAAGGTACTTATTTCTTCTCGCTTCTGAGTTGTTTTGCATTTGGGCGCGGCGGAGGAACGGCACACACGGCACACGGTATTTTCGCGACGTTCTTCGCTGCCCCTGCCGCCGTCCCTTGCCATCCGTCCGCCACGGTGCCGCTCGCGCGCGCCCGCCGGGCGGCGCCAACATAGTGTTGGAGTCGAGGTACCAGACGCCATCAACCTGCTCTGCGCCCTGAGCAAAGTCGAGGGCCTTTTCCCTCTCGGCCCGAGCCTGGGCGGCAGCGGCCTGGCGCGTACTGGGAGAGAAGGGAGAGGGGGCTGCCTCTCTCTCTCAGTGTACGTACTTTTAGCCTACTGGGAGAAAAGGGAGAGGGGGTTGTGTTCTCTAGGCCCCTAAAGGGCCCTACGCGCGGCGTGAGAGCTCGGAAGCGAGCTTTGCACGGCGATCGAGGATGGCGCGGTTCACACCGCCCTTCAGCCTTCACCGAAGCGAACAAAACACAAATGACGTGTGAGTGTTCGAGTTTTTTGGTATTGAACGGATCTTACGCCGCCTGTAACCACTCTTTAAAGGTATTGCTAAAAATCTCTCTCTCTCCGGAGCAGAGAGATTTTTGAAAACCGAAGCGATGCCGATGGAGATGCGTTTTGGCCTGGTACACGTTATTCTTCCGATTCTATATTCCTTTTCTTTGCACTTTGCACTAAGCGCAAATTTCACGTATGTGCATAGTGCAAAGAAAAAACACCGGAACCCACTTCCCCCCTCCCCCCCCGAGCCTTGACAAGCAGCGACGACCAGCAGCAACGACCTAGAGCAGCGTCCTGCCGAGTGTGTGTAGCACCGACGCAGACGCACCCCAGGCACTACACTACGACGGCTAGGCAGACCTCACCAGTCCGATAAGGATCAACTGGAAGGTTGAACCTCGAGCTTAGACAGAACGGGCGCGACAGACTCCAGGGGAGATCGCGCTCTACTCGGGGCACCAAGGAGGAAAACCGAAACCGTTTGGGTGCCCCACAACAACCCAAACGCCACAACCTAAGCGCCACACCTCCCCCCCACGTCCCCCCCCCCTTGGGGACGTAGCGCACGCCCTTGCTCGGAGAGAGTGGGGGGGGAGGGGGGGTGGGGGAATAGGAGGAGCCAACGAGCTCGGAGTAAGGTCCACAGTAGAGAGGCCGGCATTTAAGGCGTAACTTCACCCTCGCTCACCTCGAGTATATCTAGGCGCCCTGGTGCAGTCGGTCTTCGGATCAGCGGCCAGCTTCCCATCTAGGGCAGGGAACCCCCAGCGACGCTAGTGTGGCCTACGGTAGCCATAGCTTGTACGCGATCCCGGGGCAGGGGGGTGTGGACTCTGGAGCTCCAAGAGAGGATAGAGAGAGGAAGGGAGATTGGTGTGCCGGTTTTTTGAGCTAGCAATTTTTTTTCTATATTCCTTTTCGAAGCGATTTTCAGAGAGAGAGCTCTTCGGCTGAGGGCTAACAAGCTGCCGAGCCCAAATCACTGTGAGAGCCGTGATTTCTTGATTTTCAGCGATTTTCAGCAGGAATATGAAGAATATTTGAGAATATAGATAGATCTATTTGGAGCTGTATTCTTGTCATATTCGAGAATATAGACCCTGTTTTGGACAAGAATACGGAAAGAATACGGAAAAAGAATATAGATAGTACTTAGGCGAGAAAACGTGTACAGACAGGCCAAGCATGCGTTTTCCGCGTGGTGTGACACAAACGAGAGGCGGGGCGATGGGTCACGCCCTTAATAGTTCATTCCCCACAGGGTATTTTATTCGACCCGACTCGCCCGATTTCTGTCGCTGCTTGCGAGGATGGCCGAAGTCTCCCTCGCTCAGGCCACCTGCAAATTCATCGACGAATGCCCGACTCCCTTCCACCTCTGCGCCGAGACGGGCGCGCTGCTAAAGGCGGCGGGCTTCACCGAGATTGCGGAGGACGGCGCTTGGCGGCCTCTACTGAAGCCCGGCGGCAGCTACTTTTATACACGCGCCGGCACGACGCTGGTGGCCTTCCACGTCGGCGCGGCCTTCGAGGCGGGGAACGGTATCAACGTCGTCGGCGGGCACACAGATAGCCCCGTGCTGAAGCTCAAGCCGTCTTCGAAGAAGAGCGCTCACGGCTACCTGCAGTTGAACGTCGAGACGTACGGCGGCGGGCTGTGGCACACGTGGTTCGACCGCGAGCTCACCCTCGCGGGCTCGGTGATCGTCAAGCAGGCTGACGGATCGTTCGCCCGCCGCCTCCTCTTTGTGCGCCGGCCTCTGATGCGGGTGCCGCAGACACTTCCGAGACACCTTCCCTCGCCGCCCGTCCGCCCGCCACCGTCTCCAACCCGCCGCTTGCACGTCCACACGCCTACCCAACCTCCGCCTCCGCTCTGCCGCCCTCGGCACGTCCACCGACGCGCCCGCTGGACACGTCCACGACGCACCCGCAGGTGCCGAGCCTCTGCATCCACCTGCGCACCGCCGAGGAGAGGGAGAAGTTCGCACCAAACAAGGAGACGCACCTCGCGCCGATCCTCGCGTGCGCGGTGAGCGAGGCGCTCAACGCCGACAAGCCGTCCGCCTCCTCGCTCGGGGGGCGCCATGCGCCCGAGCTGCTGCGGGTCATTGGGGAGGAGCTCGGCTGCGCTCCAGGCGCTCTCCTCCCGGCCCTCTCTCCAGCGCCTCCCTCTGCCGGCGCCTCTCGCTAGCGCCTCTCTCGCACTCTCCCTGCGACCTCAGGCGACGTGCTCGACTTCGACCTCACGCTGTGCGACACGCAGCCGTCCGCGACGTGGGGGCTGGCGAGATCTAGCCGAGATCAGCCGAGATTAGCCGAGATCAGCCGAGACTACGCCCGCGATTGGGGAGTGGCGCCGCGCGTCTCTGCCTGCGCTGCGCGTCGTGGACGTGTCGTGGACGTGTCCGGTAGGCGGACGAGTTTCTCTCTGCGCCGCGACTCGACAACCAGCTCACCTGCTACCTCGCCATGCTCGCGCTGATCGACCACGCCAAGGAGGCGCCGCCCTCGCAGCCGGACGTGGCGATGATCGCCCTGTTCGACCACGAGGAGGTGGGTTCTGGCTCGGCGCAGGGCGCCTGCTCGACGGTGAGGAGCGTCGCGCTGCAGCGGGTCTCGGAACTTTCTCGGACCCTCCTCGGACCCTTCCCGCAGGTGATGAGCGACGCGCTGCAGCGGGTCTCGTCCTGCTTTGCGCCCGACGAGCGACACGCGAGCGTGGAGGCGCTCAGCAAGACGGCGCGGCGCTCCTTTCTGATGGCCGCGGACCTGGCGCACGCCGTCCACCCAAACTACGCAGAGAAGCACGAGAAGGCTCGCGCGGCGGAGTCGACCGGGGCGTGGCCGCCATTCACACCGCACGTCAGTGGCTGGTGTGTGATCAGGAGCGCGCCATGCTTACCCCTCTCTATCTCACGAGGTGAAGGCGTGCCTCACTTTCTTTTTGTGTGTCTGCAGGAGCACGCGCCCAAGCTCAACAGCGGGACCGTCATCAAGTCGAATGACAACCAGCGCTACGCCACGAACGACGCGACCGGCTTCGTCGTGCGAGATAGAGCCGAGATAGAGCCGAGATAGAGCCGAGATAGTGAGGCCGTTGAAATCTGCGCGGACTCTTCCAAGACACTCCCAAGACTCCGTGGCTGCGTAGACACTCTCCCTAGACACTCCAGCACTCTCCGGACACCCCCTTGACAGACAGTGCCCACGCGCCCAGACACCCTCGCGCGGCTCCTCCTCGGGTCATCGCGTGCAGCCTCGCGTCAGCCTCGCGCCCGCTTGCAGGTGCGTGAGCTCGCGCGGCTCGCCGGGCTGACGGTGCAGGAGTTCATGGTCAAGAACGACTGCCCGTGCGGCTCCACCATCGGCCCGCTCATCTCGCAGTCGGTGAGGGGAGCATCTTCAAACACACTCCCGCGGAGCCCCCTCTCGCCAGCCCTGTGCCTCGAGTCTCACGCCTTTGGCCCTGTCGAGTTCTGCCTCCCCCCCCCCCCTCACCTCTCGCTCCCCCTCCTTCTCTTCGTAGACCGGGCTGCGCACCGTCGACATCGGCGCGCCCTGCCTCTCGATGCACTCGATCCGCGAGACGGTGCGGGTCACACTTGGAGCGACACACAGACACTCCAGATAAGGCACTCAGCCAGCGGGGCATGTCACAGGTCGGTGTCGCCGACGTCGAGAACTACCTCCAGCTGATGAAGGCCTTCTTCGGCCGGTTCGCGGAGCTCGAAGGCAAGTGCAACTTCGGCCTCGAATTTGGCGCCGTCCGGCTGGCCTCGATGAGCGTTTGCCAGCCGTCCGTGAAAGCACCGGCGGCGTGACCCCGTGACCCCGCGGGTGCGCGCGGCGGTGTGGGTGGTGACGCGCCGGGCTTGGGGGTGGCTTGCAGAGGCTACCGTTGGCTGGCAAAGATACTGACGGTGGGCGCGAGAGACAGAGACGAGAGAGAGAGCCAGAACGCGAGAGACATAACTCATAAAAAGGTGCTAGGTGCTACGCCGGCCATAGGACTTAGGATCCCATTTACGGTTAAGCGGATGCCTGCTAGTGCTTTCTCCCCTTTTTTGCACTCCTCGTACAACATATCAAAGACGCCGTGGAATCCATGGCGCGCGTAGAAAAAAAAATTGCTAACTCAAAAAACCGGCACACCAATCTCCCTTCCTCTCTCTATCCTCTCTTGGAGCTCCAGAGTCCACACCCCCCTGCCCCGGGATCGCGTACAAGCTATGGCTACCGTAGGCCACACTAGCGTCGCTGGGGGTTCCCTGCCCTAGATGGGAAGCTGGCCGCTGATCCGAAGACCGACTGCACCAGGGCGCCTAGATATACTCGAGGTGAGCGAGGGTGAAGTTACGCCTTAAATGCCGGCCTCTCTACTGTGGACCTTACTCCGCGCTCGTTGGCTCCTCCTATTCCCCCACCCCCCCTCCCCCCCCACTCTCTCCGAGTAAGGGCGTGCGCTACGTCCCCAAGGGGGGGGGGACGTGGGGGGGAGGTGTGACTTTTAGGCTGTGGCGTTTGGGTTTTTGTTGGGCACCCAAACGGTTTCGGTTTTCCTCCTTGGTGCCCCGAGTAGAGCGTGATCTCCCCTGGAGTCTGTCGCGCCCGTTCTGTCTAAGCTCGAGGTTCAACCTTCCAGTTGATCCTTATCGGACTGGTGAGGTCTGCCTAGCCGTCGTAGTGTAGTGCCTGGGGTGCGTCTGCGTCGGTGCTACACACACTCGGCAGGACGCTGCTCTAGGTCGTTGCTGCTGGTCGTCGCTCTCGGGGGGGAGGGGGGAAGTGGGTTCCGGTGTTTTTTCTTTGCACTATGCACATACGTAAAATTTGCGCTTAGTGCAAAGTGCAAAGTGCAAAGTCCAAAGACCAAAGTGCAAGTCGCCCTCGTGTTTTTCTTTTTATGCTTTGGCAGTAAAAAGAACTGTGTGCGGCAGGCGCAGGCTCGGCCGATATCCAATACTTCGACTCACATCTTCGCTGCGGTGTGCCCGGGGAGGCGCGGCGGCGGGGTGGATTGAGAAGGCTCAGAGTGCAGAGAGACTGCAGGCGTGCAGAGGCGCGCGCTGCAGTTTCTCTGATCGGGCTGCTGGCGGTGTGAGCGCGGGGTGGCGTGGTGAGGCGTGAGGCAGGCTATTGTTGTGGAGTGCGGGCTGCATCGTCAGGCGTATGCGTGCACATGGTGCTGTATGCTGTGTGTGCAGGCTGGCAGTCTGTGCAGCAGAGAGCGGAAGCGCGCGCGCGCGCGCGCGCGCGCGTGCGGGCGTGCGTGCGCGCCTGCGCGGTGCCGGATCTGCGTCTCACTCGCGGCGCGTCCTGGTACAGCCGCTTATGAGATGCCAGAAGCAGTCTGCAGAGCCTGCACAGGGCGCAAAAAGGCGCAGGTGTGCTGGTGAGGTGTGCTGCGGCGCGCGCGTCGCGGCGTGAGTGGATATGCGGCTTGCTCTGGTAGTGCGAGGGGCGCGCAGCTGGTGCGGGCGGCGCGGGACGGCCATGGGGCGCCAGCACAGGGCAGACGCACATGGGCACAGCTCTGAAATGGCGCTGCGCGTGTTTGCGTGCGCGCGGGGACGTACGCGCAGTTTTCACGCGGTGTGCCTGGAGAAGGGCATGAGAGGCGCTGGCCGCGCGTGTATTGGCGTGTGGGAGTTCGGAGTATGCCCGGAGGGCGTGATGGTGCCCGAAGGGCGGTCCTCCATGCGGAGGTGAACCTTTTCAAAAAGAAAAGGTCCATCGCGCGCGTAGCTATGAAGGGACCGCGGCCGCGGAACCGGCGGCGGACGGGGCGCTGGGGCGCGCAAGCGCCGGCCACCGTCGTGCCGCCGGAGATGCGCAGCGGACCCTGGAATCGCTCCGATCGCGTGCGTGCAACTGGAGGACGCGGTGTGTGTCGCACGGTTGTTCGGTGCGTCGCAGGTCAGGCTGATAAGGACTGGCTACGCGACCATCGAGATCGAGCTGAAGAACGAGAAGGCGGCGGAGCGCTCGTACTTGTCGTACATCGAGCGCACCGCGCCAAAGGAGAAGGAGCTCACCAAGGAGCAGCTCGCGGCAAAGGCCGCGGCACGCAAGGCCAAGAAGACCCGGCAGAAGGCGCGCCGGGCCAAGGAGGCCGGCGAGCGCGCCGAGAGCGTGGCCGAGCGCGCGGAGCCCCCGCGCGCCGCGCAGCTACGCGCGAACATCCAGTACGTGATGGCCGGGCTGCGGACTGCAGCTGCGCAGACGCGCGGCCAGGCCGGGTCCAACATTGGGGTCGAATACTCGCTGCCCCCGGAGAGGGGACGGGTATCGACGCGGCCCCAGCAAGCTGTACGCCACGGTTCCCCAGGGGACCGTGGCGCGACGACGGTCGCACCAGACTGGCTCGCGAACGAGCTGGCCGGGCGCGGCAAGATTGATGCGGCATGCCGCGACCGCATGGTCATGCACCTGATGACGGCCGCCGGCGCCTCGGCGCCGGCCGACGCCGTGTTCAGGTTCACGGCCGGCGAGGCGATGCAGACCGAGGACGACGACGAGGACACCGACAGCTCCGAGGAGTATTCCGACGACGGGAGGGTGTCCGACTAGCTGGCCTCACCCATATCTTACCCCTTCTGCCCTCCCCTCCTCCGACCCCCCAGGCTAGATGGAGTAGTCACAGATAAGCCGGATGAAGATTCTGCCCCTCACAGCCCCTTACCCCTTCACCCTCGCCTCGCTGCTTGGTGTTTCTGAACACGTAGTCGTCCACGCTGGGGGTTGTGTGCGGGTTGTGTCTGGGAGGGAGGGAGTGGGGTGCAGGTTGCTCACCCACGGCACCGGGCCGGTGCTTGCACTTTGAATGCCGGGGGGCTCCTGCCCGTGTCCGGGCGTGGAGATGCGAGGGTCGCCCCCCCTTGCCTCACCACCTTGTGTGTGTGGAGACGTTTACCTTACCTTACCTTACCTCGGACTCCTCGACCGCTCGAGCGTTCGCGCCGGGGCCCGGGGCCTCGGAGCCTCGGACCCAACACACGAGGGGTCGAGGCTCCTGGGACAAGGCGAGAACGTGCACGAGCATGCAGTTCAGCGGAGGGGGGGGGGGGGGGAGCCGAGGGGGCGAAGTCCCGACACACGGCAGGTTGGAGCTGGGACCCCGGGAGAGAGAGAGAGAGAGAACAGCAACGGCACGCCCCCAATGACCCTAGACAGACATGACGAGCCGACAGCGATGCAGCGGCAGCGAAGGCGGCGAGGAGGGCCCGCTGTGCAGAGAGCTCCGCCGGGCGGCCGCAGAGACATCTGAGCCCTGGCCTCGACACCTCGACACCAAACCTCGACACCGACTCGACACCTCGTGTCGACACCCCACGCCAACTCGACCAACTCGACACCCCTCGACTAGAGCTGTTTAACGTTGGGAGCTGAACAGTGTTGCTAGTGTTAACAGTAACAACAGAACAACAGTTGGGCTCCCCAACAACAGTAGCTAACGTTAGGCCGGCTGAACAACAATAAGGAAGGCCTGGCAGTGACCCACGACGATCTCAGCGTCCAGTGCGGGTAATACCCGAAAATACCCGGAAAACCCCAGGTTATTTTCGGGTTTTACCCGGGGGTTTTGCCATTTTCTGCTTGCTGGCCGCGAACAACGGTAACAACAATAACAAACAGTAACAGCATGGGCTGTGGTGAACACTTGAACAACGTTCAGGATTTCAGCCAACACTAGCGCAACTGTTAGGCCCAAAGTTATAGTTAATGTTAAACAGGCCTACGCCTCGACACCCCTCGACACCCCTCGACACCCCTCGACACCCCTCGTGCCTCGACACCAGACCCCAGTCCCCAGGTGCTCGACTCTAGTCTCTACGACTGTGTCTCAAGCTCAAGGTCCCACGCGCCTCGATAGTAGTAGTAGCTGCGAAACACTTCCTATCAGAACGTACCTGACGATACGTCTCGCAGAACCGGAGAACGAAAATACTGAGTCTGACACGGCACAACCACACGCTTTCTCCACACAAGCACACAAGGCAATACCGCAGGGCTACCGCCCCGTCAGCGTCACCGGCATGCAGGCACTTGCAGCTCATTCCGCAGCGCCCTCTGCCGCTCCTCCAGCCGCGCGAGGAGCGAGAGGGAGCCTGCGTGCTCCGGCTGGCAGGCGAGCACGCGCCTCAGCGCCGCCTCGCCTTCGTCGTGCCTGCAAGAGAGGGGAGGGCGACGCGGAGGGTGAGGGCGACGGTGCGGTGGCCCGCCTCCCCTCGGCGCCCGCCCGCCTGCCGCCGCCGATGGCGAGCAGAGCTGTGTGGTAGCGGGCGCGCCAATGGCCCTCGCTCTCGCGCAGGACCTCCTCAAAGGCGGCCAGCGCCTCGCGTGTGCGGCCGCTCTTTTGGTAGCACACCCCCAGCAGGAAGGCCATTTCGAGCGGCGCCTACGAAGCGCTGCCAGATTAGAGCCGGCACTGGGAGAGGCCGGACAGGCTCGCAACTCTTCTCCTCGGAGGAGCAGCCCGCGTCTCCACCGCGCGCCCTGCACCACCGCGCCGCCTCGCCGCCCGTGACTCCGCGCGGCACGCCGAGCGCGTCGACGATGGTTTGCTCCGCGTCCAGCGGGCTGCCCAGCCGGAGGAGGGTCATCGCCAAAACCCTCGCCAGGTGGGTCCGCTGCTGCGCCGCCTCAACAGAGAAGTCACTGGCGAGAGAGTGCTCGGCCCCGTCGAGCGCCGCCACGAGCTGCAGCCGCGCCGCCTCCAGCTCACTCGGCGAATAGGCGCGCACGTCCTCAGCAGTTGGCACTCTGGCGACGGAACAAACCGACAGACGCGCAAGGCGCGAGATGGGAGGACGCGACGGGCTGCGGCGGGCGACGGAAGCCAGTCCTGTCCCGATGAGTCGCCGCGAAAGTGCCGCTGCGTCCCTCATGTGGGAAAAGAAAACAGGGGTGGACTGTCTTTAGCCGCACCGTCGGCGCAGACCGCAAAATAAAAGAAAATACTCTTGAGGAATCTGGCTGCACGGTACGCGGGTCCGGCACTGATGCCGTGAACAGCTGAGGCACGAGCGTCTCCTCGCTCGCGCCCTTGGGGGGGGACAGCTCCCCGCGCGCGGCCTTGTGCCACTGGCCGCCGACGGGTTTGGGGTCCGATGACATGGCGTCTCTTCACACTCGATCCGCCTGTCTGTTCACACCTTCTTTCTGCCCACTTCACAATGTGGCAGGGGTTCGTTAGCCCAGAAAAGAAGTTTAATAAAATACGCACACAAAAATGTTTTTACACCTCCACGACGCCAGTCCGCTTGTGGCATCACTCCGACACACGATTTTTCACTCCCCACAGCCGCCAACCCAGGATTGGCCGCTCGAACCGAAGACCGCCGCTCGACATATGATCGGCGGCTCACTTCGATGTCAGCCGCTCGACCTATGGTCGGCGGACCTGGGTTCGAATCTGAGGACCTGGGTTCGAATCGCCGTTGGCGGTTCATAGGGTAGATAAAAATCTTCTGGAGCGTTCCCAGACGTTATTCACAGGCGCGTGGGATGCGTCGGGTGTGCATGGACATTCTTGTCCTGAGAACGAGCAGTCTGGCTCAGAGCGAAGCCTCATTTTTTTCTGTTGTGTTCCAGATTCCTGTGGAGAGGCGGTCGACGGAAGCCAGCCCTGTCCCGACAACTGATTGGGTGAAAGAAATCCTTGTTTATGTGAAAGAAATCCTTTTCGCAATCTGGACGATGAGGCTTCGCTGCTTTCTGCTGCCGCTCCTCGCCGCGCTCGCCGCCGGCAAGGCCAGCAGCGAAAGTGGGCAATGCCCGCAGTTCATGTATCCACTGCTCCGCCACGCCATGTCGTCGGCGAGGCGCGGCGCAGTTCTCGACGTGGGTGCCAACGGCTGCGAGGTGATGGCTGCGCTCAAGGACGGCTGGCGCGTCGTGGGGGTGGCGTGCCTCGAAGCCGCATACAACGAGCTGCGAAGCACTGCAGTCGGGGAGCACCCGAACGCGACTCTGCTGCACGTGTGCGCGAGCAGCGGCGCCATCCGCAGCGCGCCATCGCGATACACTGCAGTGATGAGCAATGGGTCCGTGGTGCGGCTGCAGCTCGCCGATCCAGGCGACGGCTACCTGCTGTGGCAGGCCAACACCGTGGCACCCCTGTTACCTCTCGACGAGCTTATCCCCACGGAGGAGCGCGTCGCCGTCATAAAGGTCGACGTGGCTGGCGCGCAGTTCCAGTACGAGGTGCTGCTCGGGCTGCTGCAGACCATCGGCCGGGACCGACCGGTCATCGGGTACGAGGAGGTTGGCACGCACGCGCACGCACGCACGCACGCACGCACGCACGCACGCACGCACGCACACCGAGAGACAAACAGCTCACCAAAAGCGGCTTGTGTTTTGAACGCTGTGGGGCTCCTGCTTCCCGTTAGGTTGGCGTCCGCCTCGAGAAGCATGGCGACCCGAGCCACTACCTGAAGCAGCTCGGCTACGCCTGCCACCCGCACGGCGAGAACAAACACCAGCGGGTCTGCTTACACGCGGAGTCTACGTCCAGATCGCCCTAGAGTCGCCCTAGAGCCTAGTGAATCACTACCCGGTACTAGTGTATGTTCCGTGTGAGTCAGGAGAGAGAGACTACTAGTTCGCCCTACGTGCACGACGAGTTCTTCAGGGGACAGGGGCAAGTAGGGTATAAAGTATCCGTACGCAACGAATGGCTGGCTATACTGCCGTAACATTAGCGGATTAGGAAGTCAGCGCCATACTTGTTACTTTTACGTTTTACCTGTGTGCTGTGAACATGTGTTCATGTGACAAGCGCGCCGCGACAAGGTGGACTCACACACTGAGTCACTGACACTGTGCTACAGTCTGTTGCGGGCATTAAGAGACCTTACCATTAAGAAACCACGCCGAGCGATTTCCGCAAAAATCTAAGAAACCACGGCGCGCCGCAGGCGCGGCCCCAAGAAAGGGCCCACACACGAGTGTAAATAAATAAATAAAAACGGACACCTCTACTAGGAGATGGGTAAAAAGGAACAGGTCCCCGCCCTGCGGTCTTTGTGCAGGGTTCTTTGTGGGTGTGGTCGGCGACTAGCCGGGGTCGTCCTCCCGATGGGGGACTAGCACTAGCCGTCTTCCACATGGCCCCTCGGGTCCCTGCTGCTCCTAATCTCGTCGTACATCCTCCTGCTGATCTCCGCAACATCCTGCTCCCTCCCTCGTCTCGCCCTGCGCGTCTGCTCTGCCTCACCGTCTTCTGCCCTGCGTCGTCTGGTGACGGGTCCTCCATAGTCGGGGTAAGTGTGGTTCTTGCCCAAAAATGCGTGTGGTTTTTGCCCATGCATTGCGTTTTTTGCATTTTTTGCATTCGCATGCATTCACCTGCATTACAACTGCATTACAACTGCGTTCGCTGATTGCATTTCGTTGCATTATGCATTATTTGCATTCGTTGCATTTTGCGCGTGATTGCATTTCGTCGCATTATGCAATATTTGCATTTTCTGCATTTTGCGCGTGATTGCATTTCGTTGCATTATATGTTGCATTATGTGTATTCGGGGCATGACTGCATATCTTTTGCAATTTATGAGGGCAAGAACCTTAGGCAAGTGCACCACCCAGACTCCTCCCCCCTCCCCTCAAGTACCCCCCAGACTCCTCCCCCCACCCCTTCCCTCTCCCCTCCCTCCTACTCCTTCTGCATCTCCTCCTCCACTCCTCCTGCCTCGGGGAATGGGGAATGACTGCATATCTTTTGCAATTTGAGGGCAAGAACCTTAGGCAAGTGCACCCAGACTCCTCCCCCTCCCCTCCCCTCCCCCCTCCCCTCAAGTACCCCCCAGACTCCTCGTACCGTGTTTGTTATGACCCCCCCCACCCAATGAACACACCAGTGAGGGAGGGCGAGACGATCGAGGGAGAGGGAGAGCTCGCCCTCCATGCGGCGCACCATTGGGGGCGCTGCGGACTATTAGGCCTCGTCGCACATCGCGCGCATTCTGGATTGTCTTATTTATCTGAGGTTAAAATATCCATTTGAAAATGCTTGCCACATCTCGGGGATGGCGACGCCAATTCAGCCATCCTGAGATGCAGCGCCCTCCGGCCAGCATCTCAGGATGTAATGGCTCAATCAGGGATGTCGTGGACATCTTTGGTTGCCTCGAGCATCCCAAGATGCACGAAGCAATTCAAGATGCATGAAGCAATTCAGGATGCGCGCGCATCCTGAATTGCTTCATGCATCTTGGGATGCTCGAGGCAATCTCAATTAAAATGGAGATCGTATCGGGCAATTTGAGATGCCGGAGCATTTCAAATTGCGGGTTCCCCGCCCCTGACGAACTACGATACTGGAGGTACACACGCACCGCTTTCGCTCGCCGGCAAACCTTCATTTGCCTTCGGCACGCGCCGCATCACGCTCGCCCGGCCGACTTCCCAACTTTGGGCTCGGGCTCGAGCTTGCAACGACAGGCCGTCTCAGATCCGAGCCAGAGTACGGCATGGCTGTGCTCGCGGGCAGCTCAAAAGTCAGGCGGAAAGACAGACACCCGGCCGCCGACAGCTCTCCGGCACCAGCGTTGCCCGCTCCGCAGCTGTGGCAGTTGAGGACGCTCTCGGTCAAGACGCGTGACTGTGCGCTCGTCGCGCTCGCCGTGCAGGCGTCCTTCCAGATCGTGTCCATGGCGGCGGCGCGGCGGCCGCACCAGCCTCGCTTCCTGGCCTCTGCCGCCGTCGTTAGCGCCGAGGCGCTCAAGATCGGCGTGAGCGTGGCGATCCTGCTGCGCGAGCAGGTGCGCGGTGGCGAGGCGGCGCTGTCAGTCCTTTGGAGGCAGGTCGTGGTTGACTGGCGCGGCACTCTCGCCCTCTTCCCTCCGGCGCTCATCTACCTCGTGCAAAACAACCTGCTCTACCTCGCGGCCGCGCACCTCGACGCCGCGGCGTACCAGGTGCTGTGAAGACGCACACTGGGGCGGCGCGAGGGGTTGCAGCACACCCCACAACGGGGACCGGGACCAGGACCGGGGCCCCGCACACACGACCGCAGACACACGACCGCAGACGACCCGAGGCCGCCGGCAGGTGCTGTACCAGCTCAAGCTGCTCACCGCCGCCCTCTTCTCCGTGCTCCTGCTCGGCCGCCGCCTCTCTCCCCGCCGGTGGGGCGCACTGCTCGTCCTGTTCGTCGGGGCACTCCCCAGATGCAGTGCACACGGACCCGTGCCCTGTCCACACCTCGAGAGCACGCATGCCGCTGCGGTGCTCCGCTGTATTCTCTCCCCTGCATCCCCGCCCTCACTCGGGTGTGTCCATGGCGCAGGTAGCGCTCGTCACAAGTGCGCAGCACGCTCCACCCCAACCCGCGCCCGCCGCAGCGCCGGCGCCGCCCTCCCGCCTCCCGTCATGGGCCGCCCTCTCCGCTTTGCTGCCATTACGCCGCCGCACCCCCCCCGCCGCCGCCGCCTCGGCCTCCGCCGCCTCCGCCTCCGCCTCCGCCCGGTCTCCCCACCTCGGGGTGGTTGCTGTCATCTCTGCAGCCGTGCTGAGCGGGCTGGCGGGCGCTGTGGAGCGAGGCCTCGCCGCCCTTCGTTGTCTGTGCTCACGCCTTGTTTCGTTCACAGGCGGGCGTCTGGACCGAGGCGCGGGTCAAGCGCACCGCCCATGTCAGCGTGGCGGTGCGCAGCGCTCCTCCTCGGCCTCTCTGTGCCTGTGCACACACACACCTCTGCCTCTACCTCTACCTCTCTTCTCAGGTGCGCAACGTCCAGCTCGGTCTCGCCTCCCTCGCCGCCGGGGCTTGCTCCGTCTGCTGGCTCGACGCCGAGGCGGTGCGGCAGCGTGGCCTCTTCGCCGGCTTCACCCCTCTCGTGTGGCTCGTGGTGCTGCAGGTCGCCGCGGGCGGCTTGATCATCGGCGTCGTGCACAAGCACGCGGACAACATCGCCAAGGGCTTCGCGACATCGCTCTCCATCCTCCTCTCCTCGGCCCTCTCCGCGCTGCTGCCCTCGCTCCGATTCTCGCCCAGCCCGCGCTTCTTGCTCGGCGCCGTGCTGGTGGTTGCCGCGACCGCGGTGTACTGCCTCAGCACCGACGCGCCCTCCGGCGAGCGGCAGCGGAGAGAACGATGATAGTCGTCCCGCTTGATTTATGCTACCCAACGAGGGCGCGAGATAGGATTTTCGCGTCAGTGGCGGCCAAGAAACAGCGTGCACCTGTCTTGAGTGCTGGAGGCGCCCCTGATGCCACTGGACTCAATCCGAGCCGGCGGCGCCTTCGTCCGGGCCCACGGCCGGCACGCCGTCAAATTTTCTCGCCGATTCCGCGCGCTCGGCCGCCACCGCGGCGCCTCCGAGAGCGCCGTTTCGACACGCTGCAGCGGCGGGCCGCGGCACCTCGACACACCGCCTCTCGCGCCGCCTCGAGGTGCTCCGATCGTGCACGCGGGTCGGCTCGGCACGGTGCGTGCGAATTATCGCATGTATTCGCACTCGCTGCGCCACGTATCTGCCTCTGACGGCCCGATACGCCACCCGAAGCGCCACAGGTCCACACACGCGGGGCTGCGCGACTCTCTCGCGGCCCACCGCCCTCCCACACGCCGTTCGACCTCCACACAGGCGCTCGCTCGAGCCTCGCCGTCCGGGCGGTCCTGCGCGTCCAGATCTCGGCGACCATGACCCGCCACGCGCCAGCTCTGCACCTCTCCCGCGCGCGCCCGGCTGCTGGCATGGCGTGGCGGGCGAGGCTGGCGCGCTGCGACCGGTGGAGCGCCGCGCGGGCAGCGCACCAGCCTCGCACGCACCTCTCCACTGCGCCGCGTGCGCCGCTGGCAGTGTGCTGCGAGGCTCAACATGTGGTCACAGGGTAGTCAGGGTGTGGCTTGTGGTGGCTTGTGGTGCTGATCGCTGGCTCTTAGCTCCCCGGCCCTGGATGTGAGGCTAATGACTGCACTCCAAGTGCTCCAAGTTAGGAAGCCGCAGGTCCTAGCGCCTGATAACGTCACCGGCGCTTATTTCTTGATCTTTGGCAAGCCTCGATATTTCTATATTAAAACCGGCGGGCAGAGAGGGAGGGCGAGACGATCGAGGGGTCCCGTACCACGGTCCACGCGGAATCGACCCTATCCAGTGCTCAAGTGCTCAAGGTCAAGCTCGGGGCGCGTGAGCCGGACTTGTGAGCCGGACGGCTTTCATTTCTCTCTGCGTTCTCGCACAGCGAGATACTCCTTTCCGCCCCAAACTGTCACTCCCCTTTCTCCCGGCCGGGGTGGGGCGCTAACAACAAAAAAACTTAGTGAGAAACGCCGGGCAGCGTGGCGCATTACTGACCCTCCCATACGTGTTCGAGAGAGATTTTTAGCAATATTCGAGGTAGGGCACGCAAATGATGTTATTTGCTGGCACTGCCGCTCGTAAAACCCCTCTTTGGCCTTTTTCTTT